AAAGTTTTTGCTGTTTTGTAAAATACGTTTTCGGATTTACAGCGTTTTTTACAGACGGTTTGATCACTTTTGCATTATAGGTCAGCATTTGAGAGTTTGCAGTTTGCGGGTGACAAGTTATACGATGAATAAAATTTTTTGGGATGTATATTTTTTTTAGTTCATACTGAAGTTTTTTTTGCTACATCTTACCGTGACTTATGAAACTTTATTTTTTACATTAAATGTTTCTCGTGACAATATTCTGTACGTTGATTAAACTTGTCATCTTATTTTAGTTGGGTTTATCAACAGTTATTCATCGGCTGAACAGGATCTTCAGGGAAATCTATTATATATTATTACAGTATTAATACAAGCAACAAGATCGTCAAATTGTCACTTACTGCCTTTTTATAAGTCATAAAGTTACGGCGCGTGGACTTATATTATACATCTTCAACTAGCTCTTACGAATTATCATCGACATTTTCTTAGTTCTTCTATCAATCCACAACGTGTCAAGCTTTCTACCATACCACAAATAAAGCTACCGTTTTCTTCTACTATCTCTATTAACATACAGCCAAGCTGAACACCCATACCCACAAAACAGCTCAGGCGCCGGTGCCACCAGCACGTGGCGCCTCGTCAGCACTAGCAACTGCAGCCATCTATCCGTCGCACATATCGTACTCCTTATCTACCTCATCGAATGTCAGTACAAACAGCTTGAACACGTACAATGCGTGCAGCTCACTGTCAGCACAACGAGCTCTTAGTGCAGCTAGAGTGCGTACTCGGTCGATAGAGTCTTTGAATTCGAGTACCACTAATATTACGAATGGCACTGACATGACATACTCAACCAATCCAAGAAATGAAATGTGTCAGGCGTACTATAGTAATGGTACTAGTAAGGTGTTTGTTAATGGTGCTGAGAACGATGAAGTCGAACGTATTTTAAAAGGGGAGTACGGTAGTCGGGCTGGTAGTACTGTAGGTGATTATGGTGTTCGGCATAGTAGGAATGGTACAAGTTACAGTAATGGTAGAGGAGCACAAAACTACAGTAACCAAATATATGAAGACCGCACAAACTACAGTATGCAAAGCACTGATGACGCGGACTACAGTAACCTTATTGTCAATAAAAATTCAAACTACAGTACAAATAACGATGTCTACGGTAACCAAACCTCTAATGGAGCAAATTACAGTATTCGTACTGCGAATAATACTGCGGATTACAGTATCCGAGTATCTAACAGTACTTCAAATATCGCAAATTATGCGAATATTCAAAATAGTACTAATTTCACAAATGGTATTAATATGTGTACGTCTGAGTACGGTAACAACGGCAATGGAGTCAACAGTCAAAGCTACTATAGTCAAACCTCTAACACATACAACGCTTCGGAATACAGTGCTGGAGTTGACATGAATAGTAACGAAAACGAGTGTTTGGTACAGTACGAAAATAGCTTGGAGAGACATAAAGGTAAATGTCGGTTGATACTTGCACTAATGTTTTCAAGGTTTAAAGCGTACTGTATTCTTAAAGTTAATTAATAGACATAGGCTTATTTGAATTATAGGGTAGGAACGTTAGGCTTAGAAGGTTTAGGCTTAGAAGGTTTAGGCTTAGAAGGCTTAGGCTTAGAAGGCTTAGGCTTAGAAGGTTTAGGCTTAGAAGGCTTAGGCTTAGAAGGTTTAGGCTTAGAAGGTTTAGGCTTAGAAGGCTTAGGCTTAGAAGGCTTAGGCTTAGAAGGTTTAGGCTTAGAAGGCTTAGGATTAGAAGGCTTAGGCTTAGAAGGTTTAGGCTTAGAAGGCTTAGGCTTAGAAGGCTTAGGCTTAGAAGGTTTAGGCTTAGAAGGCTTAGGCTTAGAAGGCTTTGGCTTACTCGAAGGGTTAATAAATGAGCGTAGGCTGCTGTCCTTAAAATGAACAATCTTAAGCTTATTAAAAGTAAACATAGTATAATTGCGGGTTCACATACTCAAATAATATGGCAACTGTAATAAAACGTGGTTAAGTACATAAAATTGTAAGCAAATCCTAGCGCTCGCAGTCATTTTTTGGGTCGTTTTGCACCGAGGCAAATATTGTATAAGACCATAATATTACATAAGAAAAAGTTGCGTTACAACGTTTTTTTGCAATTTTTCTAAAGCTATCTTGTTGTATCATTAAAGGGTAGGGTAGAGTAGGGTAGGGCCGGGTAGGGTAGTAAATTATCTCTTTGACTAATCAATCTTGTCGATGAGGTAAAACGAATAAGATGTGGGTCGATTGGGCCCAGCAGCGAGCTAGGGCGAGATCGAGAAAGGTCACCGGCTTAAAGACGCGCGTTTGTGTTTTTTCCCCCTTCCCTCGATCCTCTGTTCACTCTTTAAGCGACCTCCATTCCTTTAAAGAATTCGACGGACACTCGCTTTCTCGTTATCTTATACAACATTTCGTCGGTTTTTTTTGTGATTTTTGAACGTTTTACTGATTTCAAAGGGTTTCGAACCGGCTGTCAGTTAATTTTGGTCATTTTAGGTCATTTTGCTAGATTTTTTTGTCTATTTTTTATTATTTAAAGGGTGTTTTTGTGGTATTTATTTGTGCCAAAGATGCAAAACTTTCAAGGTTAAAAGAGGAAGGTTCTCAGCAGTGTGTTTCCGTTAAGCAAACAGAAGAAATATAAAAGGAAATAGTTGTTTGGAAGTAAAGTTGTTGCCATTTTTCGTTTTGGAAAGAAAGTTCTTGCCATTTTATGTTTTTTAAAGAAAGTTCTTGCCATTTTTTGTTTCGTAAAGAAAGTTCTTGCCATTTTTCATCTTGCAAACAAAGTTCATACCAAAATTTTTGCAAATTCGACCAAAACACGACAAAATCAAATTATAATGCATTAGATTGTGATTCACAATGTTATTGTTCGCGATTAATCCGCTAGCCGGAAAAAAGTCAGATGGACCATATTTGAAATCCGCTTTCAAATATTTTCGACTCGACTTTTGAGGTTTTTTTTCGAGGGCAAGGCCGGCGAAATTTTGAAAAATACAAAAGAACTCGGAAAAGTAGATTAAAATCGTTTATCTTTCTTTAGATTTTGCTGTGTTTAAGCCTAAACTGAGGTTTTTTGATGCGAAAAACATCTGGAATACGGTGGGGGAGGTTTTTTTGTAGATTCCAGATGGTTTTGGGGGTTTTGTTTGAAAAAGGAGGGGATTTTGGCTGTTTTGCTATATTGTAGTAGGCACATATTAACTAGGATAGCAATTTAAAGCATAATTTAAAAAATTTTAAATTTAAATGTTGTTTTTAATCTAATACAACTTTTTAAAACATTTTTACTTTGAATATTTAATCCCTTATTTACTTTACTTCGTAAGACACCTTTCATCGTATAACAAAGCGCGGGCGCAGCTCACGCAACCAAATAAGGAAAATATTTATTTTTGGACCAATCTTTATCACAATCAGTTGTTTTATTGTTTATATACGTGTTATAATTAGTCATTAAACACGTTTTATCTTCAAAATGAACGGTTCAAATTATAGTTTCATTAAGTTAGTCATGAACAACATTTTAAACTTGGTTAATATCAAATTTTGACGCGTTTTGGCTTGTTTTTAGTTGACATGCTTCTGATTGCTCACTGATTTGTTCCGCGTGCGTTTTTAATCTCGAACTTTTGTGTTTTGTTATGAAAATTTGGGAAAAACGAAGGAATTTTGAAGTTTTGCGGCTGAGAAGATTTTGAAGGAAAAAGTTTGTTTTAGGTATGAATTGAAGGCTTAAAGTTAAAATTTTGTTGTGAATAGCTAGGTTAGAATGTTTTCTAAGTGTAAAATACGCAACGATCATTCTTAGAGTTTTCTTACTTAAAAATTTGAAAAAATTGAAGTCGATACCTAGTGTAATATAATTGATTCATTTTGTGATATTTAGGTAACTTTTACGTCAAAATTTTTACTGGACTAGTTAGAGTTAACATATCTGTATGATTAGGAGAAGAAAGGTTTAAAATTCTTGCTGTTTTATATTTTAACTTATCAAAATTTTGAGGCAAATACCTACTATAACATGGTTGATGAATTTTATCAAATTTTCGGACTTTTTTGAAGTTTTTTGTTTTGCCGAGGTAAAATACGTATTTCATAATGTAGGCGTATTTAAAATTTTGAAATTTGAAGGTTATTTTGTGTTGAAACATAAAAAGTTTGAGATCCTACTACAATATTCTTTGTGGATTTTCGAGGGATTTCGGATTTTTAAAAGTTTTTTATACTTCAACAAGGTAAAATAGATACTTTTTGATAAACTAATCATAAAAGTAGTAGTATGTTGAGTTGTTTAGTATTTTAAATTTGAAAAGTTTGAGATCGATACCTACTATAGGATAGTTGATGAATTTTAACAAATTCGCGGTCTTTTTTGATGTTTTTTGTTTTGTTGAGGTAAACTACGAAATTGACAATATAGTTGTAATATAAATTGTGGAATGGGAAGGCTATTTTGTGTTGGAACATAAAAAATTTGAGATCGATACCTACTATAAGATAGTTGATGAAATTCATCAAATTCGCGGACTTAAAGGTTTTGTTGAGATAAAATACGTATTTGACAGTTGAGTGGTGTTAAAAATTATGACATTTGAATTATTTTATGTTACAACAGAAAAAGTTTGAGCTTGATAACTACTATAATATCGGTGACGGATTGTCAGGTCTTTTTTCAGTATTTGGACATTTTTCTGACAACTATATTTGAAGAAGACTATTAAAATTTTAGAAATCGTTGCTATTTTTATTGTTAATCACATAAATATGACCAAAACTTGTCGATAGGGCCTATTATCACCTATGAGTAATATTTGTTGTACTATAACAGTCTCGTATAACTGTTTGCGTGTTTGACGTCTTGTAATACCATTAATGTTATCTTTGTGTTTGTCTAGGACCTGAAAACATTTCCGGTGGCCTGTCGGGATTGGTTTAGACCAAAAAGGTTCAACACAAAGGGTATAATGGACTTTGACGAGCGTTCCCAAGAAGCTCTCAAGTATTTTGAAGCTAAACGCCAGGAGAACTCGGGTAAAATACGTCAAACTGCTTAGTGGCTAGCTCTTTGGACTATGTTTTAGAATTCGGAAGGGTTCATGAGGTTTAAAAATGAATTTTTGTTCAAAAGGAGCAAGATAATGATGGATAACATGGCTTCTTTGAGTCATAACTTTCTTCTTTTATTATAAGTTTTTTAAATTTAGGTAGTAGTTAGAGTAGTTAATTTTCTTTGATAAAAATTTGAGTTCGGGCTAAAGCTGTCATTGAAAAATTTTTTATGATTAAAAATCAAGTATAATATATCAAAAAATTTTATTTTTTGCCTATTTTTGGTCAATTTTCTGCTATTTTTAATGATCCTACCTCAAAATAACGCAAAATTTGAATTAAAAATGAACAAAAAAGCTTCATAAACTTTAGAATAATATTCATCTTATGTTACTTTAAATAAACTTGTGATTTTCAGACGAACGAGATCGGATTCAGAAGAAGACGTTCACCAAATGGGTCAACAGAAACTTGACGAAACGTGGTCGTCGAGTGGAAGATTTGTTTGTGGACCTGAGGAATGGCTTCAATTTGATCGCATTGCTTGAGGAACTTACACAAGAAGTTTTGGTAAGGGGTTTGAATTTGGATTTTGAGTTTTTTAGAAAAATCTTTTGATGTTTTGGGCTTTTTGGTCGAGGAATTACGCTTTTTATGTAGTTTTTGGGTTTAAAAAAGTCATGCTTTAAAAAGTTTTGATCTTTTTAAATTTCAAAATGATTTTTTTTTAAATTTTGTAAAGGTTTCAATTTGATTTACATTTTTTAGCCAAAAGAAAACGGCGAAACTAGATTTCATCGGACACAGAACGTACAATGTTGCCTGGACTTTTTACAACGAAGACATGTAAGTCATTTTATAAGAGGAATATTATTTTTATTCGTATACTTTTTTGTAGCGTGGGGTGGAGGTAGAGAGGAGTATGATGACATAGGGTAGGGTAAGATAGGTTAGGAGAGGGGTTGACCGAAAAGGGGGCCGACGAAGACCAAGAAGGCTTGAAAGGGGCCGGGTGGCATGTGGGTTCGGCTTCTTTACAGGTATAGAGAGGGATGACTTTTACCATATCTTACTAGTTGGTAAGGGTAGAATAGATAAGAGTATGGTAAGTAGAGAAGAATGTGATAGGGTAGGGTAATCTAGAGTAGGATACTGTAGGGCAGGGTAGTGTAGGGTAGGATAGAGTAGGGCAAACACAAGGTAGGGTAAGGTAAAATAGAGTAGGGTAAGGGAAGGCACAGCAGAGTAATTTGTGATCTATTTTTTTATGTCAGGGTAAAATACGGTCTTCCTATATATGTGCGAAATTTTCAGATCAAATTAGTAAACATCAGACCAAAAGACATTGTGGATGGTAATGGAAAACTCACACTTGGCTTGATTTGGACAATCATTTTGAGCTTCCAAATCTCGGTTATCACTCAACGTCAAGCTGAAGAAGAGCAGAAGCGAGAACGACGACGATCCAGCCAACAATCACCTAAAATCGAATCAAATGGAGAGCCTGGAGCTGAGGCTTTGAATGAATATGGATATGCGGAAGGATCGAGCAGTACTAAGGTTGGTTTAGTTTTTGATTTGAGGGTTTTTTGGAATTTCAAAAAATTTTTTTCAAAATTTTTTTAAAAAAAAATTTTTTGAAATTTTGATTTTTTTGTACAAGTATGATTTCCATGCTGGTCTAGCATTAAAAATGTGTTTTTTGTGGTAATCGGCTTTAGAAATAACAAAGGATAATATAAAACAACAAGAAATACTTAATTTACAATGTATAAACCAAAGATATTATCATAAGACTATCAATACATATATTAGCACAACGCTAAAATTATAAAAAAATCAGAAAAAGAAGTTGAAATGATGACAAAGTAAAGAAACACTAACTCAAATGTCGTATTTATAATCGACTTACAGCTTTTCAAACCGAAAAAAAAACGTCAGAAATCATAATCCCTTTGCTTTGATCAGATCTATTGTCAAAGTTTACGCACTTATTTAAAAACCATATTCAAAAAACTACAGTTTGTTATATTTGCACTACTATGTTGTGTAGTATAATATATGTTGAGTTTTGCACTGTATATTGAAATCAATGTTGAATTATTATATATTGTGACAAAATTAAATTTTTTTTTTTGAGTTTTAAAATTGTTGTGTAGGGCCAGGCATTGGTGAGGATGGATAAAGGTGAAGGTCCAGGAATGTTTTTTTAAAGTTTTTGGTTGACTTTTTTAACTTCAAAAAGCTTTTTTCATGCTCATACCACAGCCAGTCGCCTGGCCTTTACAATTGTTAGGTGATAGTTTTAAAATTGAATTTAAACTTAATGTTGCCTACAATAAGATTTAGTCAACGAACTTTTGTCATTTCAATGTTTAGTAAAATCACGTTGGTTTCAAGCAAAATTATGGCCGATTTGAGGCTGCAAAAGTCAATATCTACTGTAAAAACAGTGAATATTGACTTTTGCTCCCAAATCGTCTATAATTTTCGTCCTGAAGGCAACGCGATTTTAATGGCCATTAAAATGCAAATGTTTGAAGGCGAATGCTCGATTGAGTAATTGTTCCTGTTCTGTTTGACGTTCCAACGTTTTTGAAATGAAATTTGAAAGATTGGAATTTAAACGACTTTTTGAGGATTTTAGGGGTTTATGATGATTTTTTTGTAGTTTAGGCTTACATTTTAATATTCGTTTTTTATAATTTGAAATTTTTTTTGATTTTTTTGGTATCTTTGTAAAATACGCGGATCGGTTTTTTCAAAAAATTATTTTTTTTTATTTTCAATATTTTGGTCTTAAAATAATTTTTTAAATTTAAAGATTTGACAAATCATTTTGTTTGAAATACGTGCACGTTCAACGCGCTAATTTGATTTGCTAATTTTAAGAATCTAAAAGGTCATGTAACGGCGGAAACAAAAGCCTCAACGATCAGAATTGCATCATTCGAACCGTGATAGTATTATTTAAAGAACACAGTCGAGAATTGGAAAAATGCAAAGTAATTAATTGCTTTTTAAACACTGTTTTTGCACGGTAATTTAACTAGAAGGCTTGATCAGTAGGTATGACTCTCGGACTGGGCCGATTTTAAGGCTTGGCCCGATAGCCATGTGTACGTAAACTAGTCTGTTTTGAAATTAAATTTGCAAAAAATATTAGGTTGTTCAAATAATTCTGTGCTGACCGAACAAATATTTTTTTGAGAGGGGGCACAGAATTATATGAACAACATAACATTTTTTGCAAAATTAATTTCAAAGCAGACTATTTTACGTACAAATGGCTGTCGTGCCGAGCCTGAAAATCAGCCTAGTCCGAAAAGCGTATCTACTGATCAATCGGCCTAGCCCGAAGCTTCATTGCCAAGCAGAACCAAATTTCGTTAAACTTTGTGCAAAAGTAAACCTATGCCGATTAAAATACTTCATGGTTAACGTATTTACAATTAAAGGTTAACTAAACGGAAAGCATTTGCCCTTAACAGTCGATATCACAAATATTTGTTAGCCCAAGGTCAGTAGTTGTAAAGTGTTGCTTGATTGATCGGGAATTGTATTTTCTGGTAACGTGGCGATTTTCTTGGACTAAAGATCTTCTTGGTACTGTTTTTGGGGCTTACTGCTTTTTTTGGTACTGTCCTTGAGGGTTCCTGGCTTTTTTCTTGCTGTTTTTGACTTGATATTGTCTATTACCCAACAATAAGATTAAGTTTGTAAAAATTTTGTTCACATTTCCGTTTCACTCACCCTAATGGTCAAAATTAAAAGCTGTTCCTCTTTTTTTGCGCCAGCCTTGACCTTCATTAGATCCAATGACCTTGCCGGTCTCTAAGTGTGCTGCTCTTTTTCTGTGTGCACTCTATTCGATTGTCATTCTATTGTTTTATGATCTCATTCATTTTGGTTTGATATTGTAGAGTTTGGTTAGGTATTGAAGGTGTTTGTCATTGTACGTACTGTTTAGGTTCTGAGTATGTCAGATGTTGTATGTTCTGCTTGAGTATTGAAGCTGTTTGATATTGTAGAATCTGATTATATAGTGAGTCAGTGTAGCTAACTGGTGTTATTTTAATAGAGAACGCCGTATACCTGGATGTTTACCCGTCTGGGTTTATATCCAGCGCCGCTTTCAGGTTACTTATGATTAATGCGACGATTGCGTTGCTGATTCGATGGGATTGCGGGATTCCGAACCGTCTTGCGGTTGCAAATTGGTTTTGGAGCTGGGGAATACGTCTTTGAACGCTTTGAATATTATTTTGAATAGTTTATGAGTTAGTAATTGTCAACAGGAGTTTGAAGTTAGTTGGTCATTTTTGTGTTGTCATAGAATAATATGAGCTAGTCTTGGTCAGAGTGTTCAATTTTATAAATTTTGGCTTGGACTCTAACTCCGGCACAGTCTTTTTAAGTTTTAGTTTTGGCTTTGGAGCAGTGCCGGCTTCGTGGTTTTTTAGTACTGAAATTTGACGTTTTTTGGCTTCGTTTCCAACTCCGGCTTCGTCTTTATATAAGTTTACGCTCCAGAGCTGCCCCCCACAGCCGGATCTGCTCTGGAGCTGAAGCCAGAGCTGCATCAGAACCGAAGACGGCTTTGCAGCTTTTAGGAATTCTGGTCATGACTCCCTTGTTTAGTTGCTTACTATGGTTCAGACTTTTTGTAAAATACGGCTTGAGCGGGATTTGATCAAAAAAATCAAATTATTTTGAGTTTTTCTTTAAAATTAAGCTTGATTTTTAATTATCTCATCACAAAACAGTAATAAAGGCTTACCGGGCTAATCACCGCAATAAATGCGCGAAATTCTTAATCGTTTTATGATTGGAAGTGCCGAAAGTTTTTCGAATGCACACGAGTTCACTCTCGGAATGTTTGCTCTCAAAACAGTTTATTATTCGCGCAGAAAAGAAAATGGGTACGGCATTTTGTGGGTCGTTTTGAGAACTTTAATGCGTTTTTATTATAATTTTAAGACTAAACTTGAGCGTTTGGTATAATTGTGGAAATTAATTTAAAAAATTTTTTTTTGTTTGTTTGGCTTTGAGTTTTTAAATTATTAGTTTGTTCAAATAATTCAGTGCTTATAAAACTTGAAAAGTTGCTTTGAAAGAGGGCGCACAATTATTTGAACAACCTACTATTAAAATTGTCTTATAAAATTAAGTGAATGGTTCTTCTCGATGTTGTTTATAAGATCCACTGTTCTTCGTAGTGTCCTATTTTTGTCATTCCATAACTTGACGTAGGTTGATGACTAATCAATTACAGTTTTAACCTCGTCTCCCAATAGAAACTGTTTGTAAAAGAAAACATCATGCATTTTTCCAAATTAAAATCGCGTTTACAATACTACATAAGTACAGGTTCAACGTGAAATGAGTCATAGAAGCAGGAGATTCATCACTAAACGGGGTAATTCTTCAGATTGCGCACAAAAACAAAAAGCTTTCTAATTCCGTTGGAAATACCTTCAGGCTTACTCATGGCTTCTGGAAGGGCTGGAAATTAGGGCGGATGTCTGTAGTTGACTTGAGGTTTTGAAGAAGGTTATGGCTTGTTAGGCTTGTTTAGGTTTGAAAGTTGTGTTTTACGTTAGTTGATAAGCAGCTTGGGCTTTTGCTAGATCAGAATATGCTAATTTTAAGAGGCTTAAAGCAGTTCAAGAACTCTAACTTAAACTTTTTCAAATTTTCGACAATTAATTGTCTTTACACTTCATTGCAAAATCACCCTTTAATTCAACAAGCGATGTAAACATTGTGTAATTCCGTTGAAGACCTCTAGCTGTTTATATATTTGACCATCAACGGGTTTTTTTGGTTAACGCGGTTTTAACGCCTCCGGGCGGAATGTTGGAATGTCATCGATCTAGTTTGGATTGTTTCAATTACGAAGCGGTCTCTTTTTTCTTTTATCACACGTTGGGCTTTAATGGACAATTGGCGGATTCTTTGACGGAAATTTATTGCTCGGTGATTAGGCTTTAATTAAAGTTTTGGAGGAAAGTTTGTGGTTCACAGGTGGTTAAGGTAGTTGTTGTAGGTATATTGGGCTGGGTGATAAACGGCTTTGATCTGGTTTTCTAGGGGGTATACTTTTGTAATTTTAGAAAGTTGTTAAGCCTATTTTTATTGGTAATTTAGGTTTTTTTTATTATGATTTGTTATCTCTAGCTCTCGATTGAATAATAAGCTATCTGGCTCCTGTTGATCTGTTCTATATGTTAAGTTAGGCACTTTATCACCACAACACGAAGCTAGACATAAGTTTCGGCTTGTTGTTATAACGTGACAGTAGGTACCTTGTTGATAAACGCAATCAGTGCGCGAAGGCCGTCCCGTTAAGTTGGAAGTGGAAGTTTAAAGTAACGCCCAGTCGTCCTTAAACTTCTTGATTACTGTTCGTATCTTCCTTTCTTTTCGGAGATAGCCAGCGGTCGAGGCTTCGGGAAACTGGAACCAGTTGTAAAAAAGGTTTCGATTCTACATCTGGTTGTAATTTTTTTGCTTATTTATATGTTTATTTCTTCTTTACGGAGTTTACTTTGTTGTGGGAAGAGATTTTGGCTGTAATAAGTTATTTTTTAATTGCAACCAATTTCAATTTTTTATCATATTCGCTCAAATTAAGTACTGAAAAGGGGTAATGAAGCTAGGATTCGATGTTTAAGGTGAGGTAGCTTTTGCTTTGGCTCATGGCTTGAGAATTCGTCCTTATTTTTAGAAGGCTTATAAGTAATGTCTTTGTGTTTTTTTTTATGGTGCCGTTCTTAAATTTAAGCTTCACTGACTTCACGTTATCGGTAAACATATTATTGTTTTTAATTTTTACTACGGATTCTTGATAGTCTTCTACAGTAATAGTAAAAATCCTTCCTATGTTTACTATAGTTAAAGTTTACTAAATTCTTCTAGCTGCTGTTGTCATTACCTGCCATCCGAATAATATGTTGTTTTCTTGATTAGCTAACCTTGTTTTTGTTGCCGTAAAATTAAGGTAAAAAAACGCTGCAGTCACCATGCGTAGTCCGTTTTTTTTACGTTTGTAAAACATGATTTTTTGTGGATTCTCTTTTTGTTAGATGCCGACGTTTGTTTCGAACAGATTAACGTTGAGGTAGGCTTTTATATAGCTAAATTGCGGTAGACAGTGTTTGTTAGTTTAGTTGCAAAGTGACTGTTGTGGTTGATAATAGTTTTTTTTGTATAGTATTTGTTTGTAGGTTAGTAGGGTTTTTGTAAGCAATGTTGCAGTAGTATGAGATTTGTATGTAGGTTAGATTGTAATAGGGCAAGTAAAGGGAAATTTAAAAAAAAAGTTTTTTTTAATTTATATGACACATCATCAAGGTATTCTGATGCGTTATAAAAATGTCGTAAAATTTTGAAATTTTCATTAACATGAACGTTGGTAATGACACTATTTTTATGGGTATGAGATTGCTCATTAATTCGTTCTTTCTTTTTAACTCTTAATTAAGGTGCGAAAGTTCTTTCATGCTTCAATCACTCTTTATTACTGTCGAAACATTCTTACATTGTCGAGACGTTTTATGTCACTAAAAAGGCATTTATGTTGTTATCGAGAGTTTTCTGACGGTATGCAGAGCTTTTTTGTCATTATCGTAGAATTTATGTCATCGTTACCATGTTTCGTCTACAGATTTCTGAGGACAGTCGAAACCCCTGACCTTGTTCCCCTTATGACTCATGTTAGTTACATTATACTGCTCACTAAAGCAATGTTAGTTACATGATACGAGCGAACTGTCCCCGACAGTAATGTCAAAGGGTTTTGTTCCTGTTTTATCGTATTACATGTTGTGTTTGATTTCTTGTTCGGTTTATGTGGTTGGAAAGGGAAGGCAAAGTCTTCTGAGATTGTTTTATTGCTTCTTCTCAGCAAGAGTTTAATGGCGCTAAAACGGAGGTCGGATATTCCGACAAGGTGTTTCTTCTGGCTTGCGCAAGAGTTTCTCGTAACTTTTGAAACAGTATTGTAATTGAGGTTTTTTGGAGTGATAGTGGGGTTTTTTGGTTTTCTTTTTCTTTGGGTTTTGGCACAGCTTTCTTCGTCTTGGGATCAGGTTTTCAGTCTTTTATGATGGGTTTCTCGGTCTTCTATGATTAGATTTTGATTTTGTTGATCAGAATTCGCCTCTTACTCTTTACTTTTTTTTTCGGTATTCATGTGCTTTCTTATAACTCATTTTATGTATAGTCAAACTTTTTGATGACACATTCACAAGTCTTTTGAGTAATCAGGAATTAGACAGATTTTGGGTGACTTTTTTCCGCGCGCCGGAAGTTTGTAACTTTTTCTTCTCGTGTAAATCGGTGCCGGCCTTTTAATCAATGTGTGAAACGTTGGGTGATAATGGGAAAAAAGTTACCTTTTTCTGCTTTTCCTTTGCTTAAAACTCGAATTCTGGTTATGAAATTTAATAATTTAGGTTCGTATGGGCTTCCAGAAGTTTTTGTTTTTCACTTATTGTTAAGCAGCTTCTAGTATTGACTGAATTTTTTGATACCTTTTGATGTGTAAGGTCATTTTAGGAATGAGTTTTGTATAATTTTGTCTCTAATTGGTCTTCAACTTTGAGGTTTAAAAATACGTGATATCGACTGTTAATTGGCAATGTAACCGTGTTAGTAAGTCATAGAATCTGACGATAAGACCGCGTTAAAAACAAAATCATGACCGCATTCTTTAAGGCGTTGGCACAAATCAAGAACACAAGCCGCACGGCACTTTAGCATCCTTCTACACAACCGAGTGTCCCGAATTCCAACGGAACGATTGCGCGTGGCTGTTGGCACGCACGAATGTACAAAATCAACTACTAACTGCAACCTATATCACAAACGTTCTACTCGGAATCCTCATCATGTACAAGGTTTTCTCGTCCTACAACCGCAAGTCAGAGAAGAAGCAACACGAAACGGGCAAACCCCCGATTCATCACGCCGATTCCTCGTACTATCAAAGCGGCGGCGGAAGCGGCCTAGTACATCGGTCGGCTAGTGCACAGCGTCTTGAAGGACCATTCGTAACATCACCACCACCATCAGTCCGCAATGGAGTTCATGGTTCTCAGAACACGCTGAGACGAACTGCATCCAAAGACCGGTCGGACTATCAACAAGGAACTTACTCTAGCGAGTACAGGTGTGTAAACTCTTATTTACGTAACTATTAGGCTGTTTAAATAATTATGTGCCCCTCTCGAAGCAAACTTTTGGGTTTAAGGAGCACAGAATTTTTTGAACGCAACGTCTCAACTTTAAATTTTACTGTTAAATTAATTGTTTTCTTATAAAAATTTTAAAAAAGTAACAAAAATTCAAATTAAAAATAATATTGTCCAGAAGTCAACAAAACGGTCATCAAAGCCGTCATCAAGCTCATCACGGCTCAACCAGCTCGTTGAGAAACGGTGGGGGCCGTTTCTACGACACTGCCTACGCCGCTGAATCCGGCGCTGGTGGAGCGTTGACTGAACGTCGCGGCAGCTATGGCGGGGCCGGAGCTCACTCTCTGCAACGCCATACTCAAACCCGTTCGAGTCATCGTCAAGGCTTCAGCGAATCCTCGTCCTACGAAACCAACGAACACTTTGAACGCAAAGTCGAGCGCGTCAAACGTACTCGCGGCGAACGTTCTCGCTCACGTTCCAAGACGGCGAGCGGTAGCAGCGAGTACGAGAGCCGTGAACGGATGGCGATTAAGGTAGGGGTGACAGTGTTTTAGTTTGTTTTGATAATTTATTGTGGTTTTTTGTAGTATTTTTTGTTTTTTTTTATTTTGTTTGAACTTTTTTAAAATGACGTTGTTTTTTGTTGGAAATTTTAAAATTCGAACTTGGTTTCTTGTGTTATCTCTCAACTTCTGTCGCTTCTTGTTTTATGTTGCGCAAAATGTATTTGATCAAAGCAAAAGGGATTAAACTATGACTTCCAGTCAAAAAAAGTTAAGTAAATACTCTAAACAATATTACAAAATAAATTGAAGCTTTGACAGTTATAAAAATGAACTGTCACAAGTTACAATAACTCAGTTTGGTACATATAAACTTACGACAGTCAAGTTCATAAAACATAAAGCCACAACAGGAAGCTATAACAGCCTAGTTTGGTACACATAGAGCTACGAAAGTCTAGTTCTTACACATACAGCCACAACAGGAAGCTACAACAGCTTAGTTTGGTACACAAGTTACTCTATACTTCAGCAAGCTAAAGATAGGGCAAAACTTAAAAATTATTCTTGGGTATGTCATCAAAAAAAATTTATCAACAAGGAATTTTATGAGTCACTGAAGTAAGAGTACTCAAAAGACTGATCTCTTCTACAAATATTGTTATTGAGTCATGTAACACACAAGTATTGCACTGCAAACACAGTATCCTAATCTAACAGTAGTATTTTTTCAAAAGTTATAAGACATTGTAAGCTTTTTGTAACTTCAGAAGCTGCTATTAGCCTAGGATATCGCACTTTCGACCGCAATCAAAGATAACGCGTGCTAAAAACACGAATCGTATCGACATAGGTGTTAGCAAACTAATAACGCACTTTATTTGCAGAGCAGAAAACTGATTTGTTTTCTAATTGTTCGTAATGGTTTTTCCTTGATTAAAAAGATTCGAGCAAAACACATTGAATAGCTATGCAGAAGTCTCTTCTCCTTTCGCTAAAATACAATAGCGCGTGCGCACGCGTCCGAATCAAAAAGCGTTAAACACCAAAATCAGTGGCGGTTTCTAATATGTTGTGCAAGTAATTGGAGCCGGATTTAAATGGTTTTGGAATGGGTTCGGAATATGCGGGGTGGTTTTGGATTTTTAAGGTGCGTGGGGTAGGGTAGGTTAGTTTTTTGGATTAGGCAGGGGTAGGGTAGATTAGCATGTTAGTCTTTACCATTTGGCAGGGGGATTTTTTTCGGAAGAGGGGTTAGGTCGAAATATTTTTACCTTACTGGGGATGATTTTGTTTTAAAAGAGGAAAGATGTCAAAAAAATTCAAAAATTTCAGAACTAAAAAAAACAAATTAAATTAAAAATCACTTGGATGGTCCAGGCTTGCCTTTTTAAATAAATTTTTTGTAAATTTTAGAAGTTGGTATGAAAATTGTATGGGATTTTGTATACAAATTTCAAAAAAAAACATTTTTCTCCCCCCCCTCTCCCCGCCTCTTTAAAAATAAAATGATTAGCTTAAAAAACGCCAAAGAACGCTCATTAAAGTCAATCCCCAAGAATTGTTGACAAAATTTCACTACTCAATGTTTGCTCACATTACTGGAAAAATCAATTTATATTTATATAATAAGTCGGGTTTTTTTTTGACTCATGCTCCTGAGGTTATTTCCACTTTATAATAGACAAAATGGGGCGGAAATTTGGGAAGGGAAATCGCTTTCTTTGACTTTTCCCCCCTTATATGAATCACAATTCCTCGAGCCCGTTGGGCAGTGGATAATAAAATTGTGGATTGGTTGGGAATTTTGTTACAATTCAAGTTGGATTTGAGCTAGTTTTGGGCTTGGATTGGTTTTGAGCAGATTGTGATTGAGATTTTAGGGGAAAATTGAAATTTTTGGTTTTAAAATATTTTTTTTTGTGATTTGTGGGCTAAATTTAGGCTTTTTGAAGCGCGGAAGCTAAGAAGATGGCTTTAGGAAAGAATTTTTTAAAAATATTTTATCAATTTAAAAAACAAAAATTTTACTTGGCCCCCCTGTTGATTTTTCAAAAAAAAATTCTGACTTACAAATATCTATTTCTGGTTTAAACCTTTCCATAATTTCTGGCTTACACCCTCCTAAACCATAACCCCGCGACCTAAGGCTATTAGCCATAATAAAACCAAAAAGCAACACCACTGAACATGAGCAAGAGATTCCAGGACGACTCATATTTTATATACGTTTAATATTTGAGTTTAGTATAAGTTTCATGCGAAGAAACGCGGGGCTTCGGTTTTTTTTCAGCGGAACCGGCTGCTGTTTACCTTTGTCAGTGGCCCATTCTGTATTCGTCTCCAAAAAGACTGTTTTTTGTTGGGGTTTTTTCGTTCGCACCTCACTGCCCTTATCAGTGCGGCGGAGCCGTCAGAATCAGCACTTGCGTTTTTTTTCTCGGTTATAAGCGGCGGTAGGTGATATAAAGTGGCGAATGTTGTAAAAGACGATTATTATCGGCTTTTTTAATACAATAATACTCGCTTTTTTGGATTCGGCTTTTTGTGTTATAATTATGGCCGAGGGCTGTATTGTTTGGTATTGTAAAAATGTATTCATAAAAGGAGGCAAAAGGGAGGGGAGGGGAGGGGCGAGTGTTTGATGGGTTTGAGAGAAATGATATCGGGTTTGTATGGGCTATATTGGATCATGTAGGGTAGTGACATTGTTATAGTGGATCACATAGGGTGTAACGGCGTGATCTTCTGAGCATTTTAAACGTTTTGAAATATTTAATTTTGTAATTTTAGTGCAATGAGGCTAAAATTTTGAAGATGAAATACCTTTGAATGATTTTTAAAATTCTTCGTGATATTACTATAGGTATATGCGACCTGTTAAAGACAGCTAATATCAAATAAAGATAAGCATATCTGTTCACAAGACCAAGACTCAAACTTTAAAAATGACGTCAATGTCCCCAAGATCCGATCATTCTCAAAAGTCCTCGGACAGTCGACGAAAAATTGAAACTTATGTTTCTCCTGAACCTACAACATCTACACCTTCGATTACCGAGCTTATGAATAAAAATCCGACCAACGCTGACTATACGATGGAATACAGATATCACAGAAAGGTGGAACGAAGAAGGAACATTGATGAAAGACGCAGAAGAGTAGCATCTCTACCACGATTGAACGATGCCAGCACGTCAAGGAATGATAGCTACAGTAGGTACAATGAAAACGGCAGAAATGAGATCACTAATAGAAGATCAAGCCAACAACAAATGTATTCAAGTCAACAAAGGCTCAATGGTCGGCCTGATAGTGTTAAAGGGCTGCGAAGAACGGCGTCGAACATGCAAGAAGCTGATTATATCTACTTTTCACCATACTTTAACCAATATACAGCTAATAATATAGCGAGAAGAGAAGATAATTCAGTTCACAATGGCCATAAAGTATATTATTCTACCTACACAAAGCATGCACGATCTTCAAGCTACAATCAAGCTCAAAATGGACATTCATTAACCGGGAACGATGGGGTTTATTTGGGTCAAAATAGAAGTGGCAGTAGAGTTGGTAATAGAGGAATGCAACCACAAGAACAGATATTGCACTACACTAGCTTTGATGGAAGGTCGGGTCATAATAGAGATATCAACAATGTTTCATATGAAAACAGAAATTTGTCTTCATATGATAACAGAAATTTGGCATCATACGACTATTCAACCGCTCAAAATGCACAAAATCGACCTTATGGCCGAAGCCAAAGCAGCATGTCAAACTACCGCAGAACCTCGAGCAGTATGAGTAATTTAAGAAGACTAAAAGAGGACAACATGAACCAGATAAGATCACAAAAAGACCCCATAAACAATGTCAGACCTAATGAAGATGTTCAAGTATTAGCAGAAGAGTCACGACGAATCTATCGCAAAGTTCAGCGGGTAAAACTGCTAAAACAAGCGTTGGAAGAGACAGAAGCCGAGAAGTTGCGTCGGATTCACGTCGAAAACGAACGGAATCTGGAGCAGCTGGCTCGTTTGAAAGAAGCCGAGTACCACAAAAAACAACGCCATTTTTCGGCCGAACGGCGGTTCGAAGCCGGCGAAAAACGCATCGAATTGGCCGAAAAACGGCTTGATTTGGCTGAAAATAGGCATGAACTAGCCAAAAATAGACATGAACTAGTCAAAAACCGCCATTATTCGGCCGAAAACAGCCAAAATCGGGCCGAATTCAGGCGAATCGAAAAATGGGAGAAACATGACCGTTCCGTTTATTTCCAGAACGCTGAAGCACGCCGCAGAACGCCGGATGCTAACGCATTGTCGGCACGTGAAGCGTTGTTGCAATGGGCACGTCAAGCCACTCAAGGCTATCCCGGCGTTCACGTTCAGAACTTTGGATCATCGTGGCGGGATGGACTGGCTTTCAATGCCATTCTGCATCGATATCGACCGGAGACTGTGGATTGGAAGGCGGTAAGGCATTTTTTTGTTTGAAATTTGAAAAATTTTGATTTTTTTTTTGAAATTTGGTACTAAAAATTAATTTTTGGTACTAAGAACGAATTTATAGTACCGGCTTTGACTTTATGATTCACAATTTATAATCAGTACTAAATTAAGTTTATATACCTAAATTATCACAGTATTGTGTATGTCAAGTATCATACTATTAATAATATGCTTTTCAGATCAGTGATCGCTACGTTCCAGTACGTGATCGTCTCCGCAACGCCTTTGACGTCGCTGACAAAGACTTTGGAGTAGGACCATTGCTAGATCCAGAGGATGTGGATACAGATAATCCAGACGAGAAGTCTATCATGACTTATGTCTCTTTATTGTATAACGGGTTACCTTCTTTAGATGAGATTCAGGTAAGATTGAGTGGAATATGAGGGACGGTAGTGCCTTAAGGGTGATTTTTTTAGGATTGTGGTACTATAAAGCTTGATAGTACTATTTTGAATGGGATGTAAGGGTTAAAATGCTATTCCAAAGACGATATAAGGAGTGATAGTGCTATATAAAGGATGATAGTGCTATATTAAGCATGATAGTACTGATAATACTCCATCTTTTTGATTATGGTACTATACGGTAGTACTATAATTTTGATAGTACTACATATAGAGAAAACTAGTACTATAAGGTACTGGAATAGCATATAACTTTGTTATAATGGTACTGTTGATACTATAGTAGATTTTTGTGCTGATAAGAAAGAAATTTTGATATTGTTATAGGTTGTTATAGACTTTTTGCTTTGTTTTTTGCATTTTTCTTTGCTTTTTCAGATTCATTTCCTTTATTTTTATCATTTTTAGTTATTTTTACTTTATATACTTAATATTTATATCTTTATTTTAATCAACAAACTGTTAAAATCACCTAAAAACATAAAACCCTGATCTTGCAGAGCACTGGCGGAGTAGCCGAAGACATAATCGGCCGTCTGGACCGTGGCATCCTTCTCACCAACGAGCGATACGACCGTGTTTTGACTCGAATCGAACGAATCGAAGAACACTACAAGTCGATGCGAACCGAGGAGGTGTCACGCGAAGTGAATCAACTGGTCGATGAGCTGGAGAACTCGGCTCAAACCATCAAAACCCTGTTCGAGGACGTGGATCAGCTCAGGGACTTGAAGCACGAAATGAGCGAGGAGTACTATAAGAGGTGGGTAGGGGTGGAATGAAGGGGGAGGACTATAAGGGGTGGGTAGGGGTAGTATTATAAGAGGTGGGTGGAATAAAGGAGAAGGGCTACTAGGTTGTTCAAATAATCCTGAGCTCCTCTTCAAGGCATATTTTTGAGGTTAGGGGCTTAGAATTATATGAACAAACTAATGTGAGAGTTAGGTATGGGTGGAAAAAAGATGGGGTAGGGGTGAGTAATAGTAGGATAGGGGTGGATAAGTGATGGGAAGACTAGTTAAATAGTGGTTAGGGCTGGCGGGGCAAATGAGAGCTTTTGAGGGTCGAGTAGGGATAGGTAATGATAGAAAAAAGAGGGTACGGCCAAGGATAGTCCGTCAAACCTATTGTCACTCTATTCATACCTACTTTTCAGAGTGTTTGGCCTCCACCAACGCCGCAACGCCTACCTCGACCGCCTAGCCGACCGCTTCCCCGACCATTACGGCCAATACTCGACCAGCTCTCGAGTCGAACGTCACGACTACTCTTCATCTCAAAACGCTTCCCAACAACAAGCCCGTGACGCCTCGGCCCAACGCATCTACCAACAACAGCAACAACAACATCAGCAATCCGAAAAGTATATTCAGAAGCGCAAAGCCAACTTTGACCGCCTGAACGAAGCGATCAGATACGTGGAGGAGAAGCTGAAGGAGCTGAATACGATGAGATTCGCTGAAGACTTGCAAACTTTGGAGACAACTTTTGCTCGTCATCAGGTGGACAACAGAGATATTCAGGATTATCGGCAGACTGTTGATGAATGCATCGCTAGACAGGTTGGTTTTTGAAAAGTTTTGAAATTTTGAAAAAAAAACTATTTTTTCGAAATTTTTCGTATTTTTGATATATGGCTTTGATGAAAACGACTTTTTGGTAACAAACTGAAGTTTTAGGTATTAAAGTGGCTTTTTAGGTAACAAAATGAATTTTTAGGTATCAAAGTTAACTTTTAGTCTTTTAGGTAACAAAATTAAGTTTTTTTGGTAAAAAAATTCATTTTTAGGTAATAAAATGTCTTTTTAGATAACAATATGCTTTTTCAATTCTCAAAACACTTTTATGCCGAGTGTTATATCAATAACAAAATTTTAAAAAAATTATTTGTACGTATTTTAGGCCGAAATCGCAGCCGAAGACACCCACGAGTACTGTGACCTCCTTGCCCGTCTCGAATCCTCATACCAACAACTTCGTGACATCAGTGCTGGCCGAATGCTTGATCTAGACACTCTGATCGCCTTCATTCGAGCCGCTCAAGCCGAACTTGTCTGGATTCAGGAGCGCGAAACCATCGAAGTAGCCAGAGACTGGTCCAGCATCGCCGCTTTGGACCTACCAATGCTCCAAAACTACTACCGTCAACTGCTACAGGAAATTGAAATTCGCGAAAGAATCTTCAACGATGTCCACAATCAAGGTGCCGCTCTGATCAATCAACGTCACCCAGCTTGCGACGTGATCGACGTGTACCTGAGGTCAATGCAAAACCAATGGGACTGGCTTCTAGGATTGTCACGAGCTCTAGAAGGTCATCTTCGCGACGCCATCAATGTAAAGAACTTCACAGAAGAAGCCGATGGGCTAGAATCGTCGATGCGAAAGCATCTAGAACATCTGGAGAAGAACTACAACCAGACCGACCTGTCGATTGGGGATGCTGAACAGTACCTGAGAGAGCTGGACGAACTGGGAGAGTTTGTGGGCAAGTATCAGAGCTTGTTGGTGAGCCTAGACGAGAGAGCTCAAAGCATCAGTCCATTGTGGCAGAGAGGAGAGAGGATTAATCATCAAATCAAAGTGACAGCGTGGTGTGATTATGTTAAGGATGGAGTTAACATTGCTACTGGTAAGGGTTGAATTTGGGTAACAAAATGACTTTTTAGATGACAAAATTATTTTTTAGGTAACAACATTTTTGAACTTTGAAATTTAAAAAAATTTTAAATTTATAAATCAATGATAATTTCTCTAATTTCAGGTGATGAAGTAACCCTCATGGACAACTACGACCGTCTCAACTGGACCATCCGCGACGTCGCGGGACGTGAAGGCACCGTACCATCTGTCGTCTTCAGAATCCCACCACCAGACAACAGAATCTCGGACTTTCTGATTCGGCTCCGTGCCCAATTCGACCGTCTTCGCCGCCTCTGGGAACAGAAGATACGCCGAATCCGCTACAACATGATCCTAAACACGATGCGCACCGTGCGCAACTGGAATCTTGAAGCGTTCTTGGCTATTCCACCTGAACAAAGAGACGAAATCATCAGAGCATTGAACGAAGACGCTCAAAAGTTGTTGTCAGAGCTCCCTGAAGACGACCCAATGTACAGAAGGTTGGCAGAGGAGTTGATATTGACTAACGAACATATCAGTCAACTCCTGATGGAAGCCAACAAGCCTAAGGAGCCGAATCACTCGGAGAAGTTTGACACTGCCATTGTAGACTTGCTGAACAAGCTGGACGAATCATGGAGAACATTGAACGAACGTGTGAGACGACCTGTAGCCAACGGCATCAATCAACTGTATGAAGAGGTGGACGATCACAAGCTGTTCGAAGAGAACCTCCAGTCATTGGAAACAGACGTCTCCAACGTCAAGGAACTCTTCAGACAAATCCCCAACCCCACTCCATCTCAAAAAGCTAATCACGACCATCTGAACAACCGATGGGAAGATCTTTGGGACCTTTCTAGAATGCGTGTTGAGTTCTTCAAGGTACTAGAACAGGTGCTACAAGGCATGGACGAAGTGTACGACATCGTCAGAAGACATGAGATCACTCTCAACTCATTCGACGACCTTCCTGCAGCTCTAGACAAACTCAGAGGATGCCACGCCCAACTTCTCGAACTCAACATGGTCCTACAACAGCAACAAAACATTGTAGACGACCTGAACAGGAATGTAGCCAAACTACGACAACATGTAGCCAGAACTCGCCACGATCAGATTCATCACTCGGATGTGGACAGACTAGAGGATTTGGTACAACAAGTCACGGTACGATGGGAGAACGTTCAATCCCAAGTGACGGAACGCCTACGAACTGCCGAAGAGTCACAGCAGATCATGATGTTGTACCGAAGTCAGTACGACGAAGAGATTCAGTGGCTGGACAGAGTGGAGCGAACTATCGAAGCCCTCAGGAACCCAAATGACATCAGACCAGAGGAGTTACAAGCTCAGCTAGACCAGTTGACAGCTGAATACGCTCAACTTCAAGAACATACAACGACCATTGAGAATATCAACCATGAAGGAGGGAAATACATCAGGGATGCGAGGGTAGGTTCTTGGAATTTTTTTTTGAATTTTGAAATTTTGGATTTCAGTTGGTACTGAAAATGATTTTTTGGTATTGAATAATGAATTTTGGTACTAATTAGGTTTTATAGTACTAAAAATTATTTTTGGTACTAGAAAAAAATTTTTTACTAGTACTATTTTATGGTACGAGACATGGTTTTTAGTACTAGAAAAGTATTGGTACTAATTAATTTTTTTGTACTGGTACTATTTTTATGGTACAATCAATTTTCTGGTGCTAGAGAAAAATTTGGTGATTAATACTATTTTCTAGTACTAAAAAATATTTTTGGTACTGGAAAAAATTTTGGTACTAATTAAATTTTTTAGTACTAGTACTATCTTGTGGTACTCGAAAGTTTTTTAGCAAAAGTATAAAATATTTATAGAAAAAAATTTTTGGTACTGGATAGCATTTTAGTACTAATACTATTTTTTGGTAATAAAAGAAAAATTTTTGACATCTGAAGAAGAATTTTGGTACCAATACTGTTTTAAAGTACTGAATTCATTTTTTTTAGCTTTTGGTACTAAAAAAGTCATTTTGATTTTAAAAAAGTTTTAAAATTTTTACAAAATCAGCTATAAGCCCTACCTTTCAGACCTACGACATGCGTCTCTCCCAATTCCACGATGTCATTGTAAACCATCATGGCATGAGTATTATCACCGAGTTCCGTCGTACCGAACCCCAACCCACCAGTGGCTCAATCGTAGTCACAAAAGAGCTGGAAGAGCTGAACCGACGCTTCGCCCAACTTTCGAGTGTGATTCTGGAGCGAAAGAACATCGTGAACCGACTGATTCAGAACTGGAAACGCAAACAACAGGTTGGTTTACTGTTTTATATTGTTGTAGAGTAGAAGAGAAAGCTTTTTAGAATAGATAGGCTTTGTTTTTAGGAAGGTTATTGTAGTTTTCTTACTGTAACGTGGAGAAAAATTGATTTTTTGAGGTTTTTTCGGAAATTGTGAGCTTATTTGGCCGTTTTTGAAATTTTAAGCCATGGAAAAGCATTTTTAATAAGGATTTTTAAGCCTTTTTATAGCTTGATTACTGTAGTTTTTTATTACGGTAGTTTTAAGTTTTTTATTACGTTAGTTAATTTTAGTAATACTGTAATTTTGACCAAGTTTATGAGTAATATAAGCTAAAACAATGTAATATAACGAGCAACTAACATTTTCTCAATTCGTTTTTGTAAAAGCTAAGAGTTTTGAGTTGTCAAACAACAATCTACCGATCGACTGTTACCTAAAATACTCGTTTTGTTACCCAAACATTTGTTTTTCAATTTTAAAATGACATTTTGGCGGTTAAGAGAAACGCTTTATTTTGTTTTTCTACCCCCTTCGACATCCCCCCAACAGCTTTTATTAATTATAGCTTTATTTTGTTTTATTTTAGGTATGAAAATTTTCAAAAGTGAAAAACGTTTTTTTTTGTTTTTAGGCTTAAAAGTCAATTTTTAGGCTTAAAAGTGACTTTTCGGCTTAAATCTAATTTTTTGGCTTAAAAAGGGGCTTTAAGGCTTAAATTGATTTTTAGGCTTAAAAAGTGACTTTTAGGCTTCAAAACTGTTTTTTAGCTTTAAAATCTATTTTTGGGCTTAAAAATTGACTTTGAGGTTTAAATGTCATTTTTAGGCTTTAAAGTGACTTTTAGGCTTAAATGTAATTTATAGGCTTAAAAAGTGGCTTTCAGGCTTAAATTAAATTTTTAGGTTTGAAGGTTGATTTTTAGGCTTAAAATTAAATTTTTAAGCTTAGATTCATTGTTTAGGCCTAAACTAATTTTTAGTTTAAAAATTATTTTTGAATAAGCCTAAAAATGACTATTTTTTCTTTTAAGCCTATAAAGTTTTTGAACTTAAAAAATTTAGAAAGGAAATTTTTTTTGAATTTTGTAAATTTTGAATTAAAGTACCGCTGATCCGTTATGTTATACGCTATTTACTTTTATTTTGCTGCCATTGTAATCCAAGTTCGAGTCCTACTGTCGTTAATTTTTTATTTTTTATCACCTAAACATCCATAATTTGTCTTTAAAACTTCTCATGAACGCCAAAATGCGTTGAAACCGAAATTTAAATTCAAATTTTACTCTTATTTATGTTATTTAGGAAGTAAATATGAGAAAATAGTACTAGTACTACTATTTTTTGTTAATACAGTTTTAAATTTTTATTTTTTAATGTTTCATAATGAAAATCCTGTAAAGTTTTTAAAATATTTTTAAAATAATTTATATTATCCACCAAATTTGAACGCTGTCTGCGCCGAATTGTCTCAAAACCCTTAGGCACAATTTTAATTTGATAGGAAAATTTTTGAGAAAAAGTTGAGCACTTGTGATTTTTTGTGTACAGTATATTGTGATTAACACTAGTTGAGTGACCTTTTACCAAAAATTTTAAAATAATTTTGTTTGGATAATTTATGACAAAATGAAGTGAAAAAATTGACTTTTGTTACCTAAAAAAACAAAAAAATAGAATTTTGTTACCTAAAATTGTTAAAAAATTTAATTTTGTTACTTAAAAATGTAGAAAAGTTGAATTTTGTTACCTAAAAAAAACAAAAAAAGTTAACTTTTGTTACCTAAAAATGAGTGTAAATGTAGTTTGCCGTCTCTTTTCCATACCACTAACGAAACGACTTGAACCAGTTTGCTTTGAACATTGCTGTGCTAATAACCCTCCCCCTAACTCCCCTCGCCCCAGTTTATACGTTGACTAACCAATTTGCTTGTGTGACCAGCATTAACATCTTACCTTATGCCTAACCCAAAGAAATGGTTGTTGATAAGGAGATAGATGAGTTTTTGTACTTAATTTGGTATTGATGGTACCATTTTGTATAAAAGTTATTTTTTAGTACTGTAGGTACTTTGAACTTTTCAAAATTTTGAAGTTTTAGGGTTGTTAAAAAGTTTTGTTGTTCATTTGTATTGAGTTTAACAGCAAAAAACGACAAGACTTTTGAAATGTCCCAATACTTAAAATTTGTTTTTTAAATAAAGTTTTTACTGAAAAAAGTTGAATTTTGGAATAAAAATGATAGTTTGTTACCTAATTTTACAATATGTACAAAAACACCAGTATCTCCTTATCAACAACCACAAGTGCTACAACTTTTTTTTTTCAAATGCCGCCTAAAATGTTGCCGTTTTCGAAAAGCCCCCCAGGAACTAAGCCCAAGTTTTGAGACTTTTGAGCCAGAAGATAAGCGTTCGGTGGTTTGTTGTTGTTTTGCTTTTGTTTTAAAGTTTTTGTTCAAATTTTGTGCTAATAGCCGGTACCTATGAGCTAAAGTGTACCTGTTCGCAATAGATACGCTAACAGCTCTTAGTAGGTACGTTTGTCTGTGGATTCTCTCTTACGTTCTCTCCCAGCTGTGTATTGCTTTTAGGAGGAGGAGGACCGCCGACGCGCTGAAGAAGAGCGAAAACGTCGCGAATTCGAAGAAGCACGACACAAAGCTCTGGACGAGGCGGATCGTCTGCGTCGCGAACGCGAAGCTGCCGAAGCCGCACGTCGCGCCAAAGCCGAAGAAGATCGTCGGCGAAGAGAATTGGAGGAAATCGAACGGAAACGTCGCGAAGCCGAAGAAGCGGCACGACGCCAACGAGAAGAAGACGATCGTCGTCGTCGCGAAGAGGAGGAACGCCGCCGACGTCGTGAAGAAGAGGAACGACGTCGCCGTGAAGAAGAGGAACGTCTGCGACGTGAAGAAGAAGAACGTCGACGTCGTCGCCCGGTAAGAACCCGCTTTTCTTCACGTACTATTTTTGAATTGCTGTGGCACAATTTGGTTTTTTTTCGTTTTTTAGTTGCTTTCAGAATGATGTTACACTAACTGAAAAGAATAAGTTTGAAAGTTGAAAACAATGAGTTGAATAGTAGATCTATTTTTAGTAAATTAGTAGTAGGAGCACTAAGATATCCACACAAATCACAAGCTTTGATGAATTATGTGATTATCCTCAATATAATCATGAAAATTTGAAAAAGCGAAATGTAGACATCAAGTAAAGATAAGAAAATAACCATTTTTAAAATTTTGCTCACTTTAAATAACCTTTTTTATACTGTGACAGTTTTAAAATAACATTTGATGTGTGACAATCATAAGTAACATTTTTCAATTACCTTTTTGCCATTTCACTTCTATTTTAAAACAAAAAACACTGCATAACACAAAAACCTCACAAACAAGGCTAATTTTGATTCTTTCAGGAACCGCTAATCCGACAGGCCACCGGAATGCAACAAGGTTTCCAAAACGAAGACTACGACACGTTCGACTCGATGGGCAAAGTCCCAGACCGCGCCCAAATCGCGGAACACGAAGATGAAATGGAACGGTTCGACGAAGAAACCGTAGTGAAAACACAATTCTACGAAATGGAGGGCAATCTCCACAAACAAACTGGAGAGGTCTTGACAGTCATGGAACAACTAAGACAAGGACTACTGAACCGTCAAGGAGAATTCTTCGATATCGAATCAGGAAGAATGATCTCGCTAGAAAAAGCCGTCCAAAAAGGTCTGATCAAACAAGATCTACAGACTCTACTACAATCTCCACTCGGAATCAGAAACCCAGAAACCAGAGAACAACTCACTCTTCAGCAAGCCATCCAAATCGGCTTATACGACCCAGAAATGCGACAATTCCGTGACATTAAAACTCAAGAAATCCTAAACTCATACGATGACGTCTGTGACACAGCTACGGCTCGTGATCTCATGACCAAGAACATCCTCAGAATGCCACCACTTTCAGTAGATACAGCGCTGTCTAAACACAAAATCAACCCAATTACCGGAGATTTTGCTTCAAAGGTCGATAAAGACTCAGCAATGTCATTAGCTGATGCTCTGGCCAATGGTTATCTACAATTCCCAAAGCAAGGTGCTCCAGGTTTGGAGTTGAGTTTGAGCGATTGCATAAAAAAAGGCTTTGTCAACTATGACGGCACTTTCGTTGACAAAAATAATAAAGATCAGAAGTTCACCTTCCGCGACGCATTAGCCAGAGGCAAAGAATTGATTAACCAAGGCCTTCTCGAAGTCACAAACACCCAAACTAATCAACGAATCACGTTGAATGAAGCCATCAGATGCAAGGCTGTTGATCACAAAGAAGGCAAGTTCCAAGACCTCAAAAACAGAAGTCATTTGACGTTGAATCAAGCCTACGAAAGAGGATTCATCTCCAAGCCAATGACTTTAACAGAAGCCGTCGAAGAGAATACTTTGGATCTGAGCGGCCGCTTCTACGAAAAAGGCACCACCAACCGTTACACTTTGATTGAAGCCGTATCTCATGGTTTGTTAGACGGCCACGTCCGTCACATTGTCGACAAAAATGAAAAAGATGTTGTAAGCATCATTGAAGCCTTGGAGAGAGGACTTTTGTTGGCTAACGGCCGAATCGTTCTCGAACTGACTCCAGACGGAAAGCCACACAACCCAATTGACCTGTTTGAAGCTAAACATACAGGCATTCTGGTTAAAAGACAACGCCACACCATTTTCGACGTGAAAGGCATCAGAATTGGCGACAAAATGCTAAGCTACAACGAAGCCGCAAAGGATGGTGATCTGGATGAGAACGCAGGAACCATCAACCACTTGAGTCTACAAAGCGCCAAGGATCGTGGAGTCCTCGATGAGCTCCTGTTCAACATTTTAACGGAAAAGATTGGCATCATGGAACACGGAAGAGAATTATCATTAATTGAAGCCGTTAATGCCAGAATTGTAGACCCATACAAAGGCGTCTTCTTTGATGGAACTCGCGAAATGTCGGCCAAGGAAGCTTACGACGCATCTTTCATTACACTGAAAGGAGCTCTCCGTTTAGCCGGTTTACTCGATGTTCATCCATCTCTTATTGTGTCCCAAAAGAAGCTGGATAGAAAGAAGCGAATTGCTAGACCAGGACAAACATTTGGCGAAGACTCGATGCGTGTCACCGTCCAAGAAGCCATGAAACAAGGCTTGATCGACGGTTCTACACAGAGATTCCGACAAGGCAACATTGACTTGTCTCTTCAAGAAGCTCTCGACAGAGGACACGTCAAACTTGATGACGAATGGATTGTGCCTAAACGCCACTCGGCTGCCGGTCCAACCATTGAAGAAAAGACTACGGAGTCTGTCACCGAGACTGGTCAACAGTTAGCTCCAAAGGTTTACCCAGACAAACAACTCGAAGAGAGCGTACACACCGTTAAGAGAGTCAAGAGAACTGAAACCTCAGCTGTTGGAGGTCCTGGCGGTGTATCTGTCTACCGAGCTATTGCCGGAGACAAAGACGCAGTTGAAGTCCCAACAGACGGCTACCACATTCTTGAAGCCGAAAGGAAAGACATTGTGGACTTGAGAACTGGAGTTGTTCGAGTTGGAGGAAAAGTGCTGAACATCAAAGAAGCGTTTGATTTGGGAATTTTGAACCCTAAGTCAATTTACATTAAGGACACTCACACTGGCCGTCAACTTGATGCCACTGAAGCGCTTAACGTCGATCTGATGGACAAACACGGCTTCATCAACCACTACGGAAGCCTAATCTCATTGAGAGAAGCCATCGACAACCGCTCAGCCAGAGTAGAAGCCGAACCTCCAGCTGTACTCAGAGAACAAAACAACAAAGTAGTCCAGTTCGACCGAAACAGCGGCCAAATACTCAGCTTCAGACCAATTGGTCAGCCACAAGTTGAAGAACATGTCACCAGCTGGACCTTTGACTCAGCTACAGGAAAAATGACAGACGAAAGCACGGGAGAAAGTTTGAGTCTGGACAACGTTATTCTTAACGGCGTTGTCGATACCGATGACTGGTATGTGGTAGATACATTGACTGGCAAACAGATGTCGTTCGAAGAAGGTAAACAACATGGAATTATTGTTATCAGAGGCAACGAACACTACTTCTTTGACCGTGACAACAATACTCGCCATTCGTTCGCCGAAGCCGCTCAACAACACAGAATTTACCCAACCGGAGGTGTACCAGAAAACGCCGGAGATGCGGTGCATACTACAGTAAAAATTCAAACAAGATCAGTAGTACAACAAAAAGAAGCTGTGACCGAAAAACCTGGTCAAGGCTACAATCTGCACCGATTCATTGAAAGCGGATTGTATGATCACAAAACCGGAGAGTTCAAGCACCCTGATACTGGTAATGCACACACTATCAGAAGCTTGGTCATGAAGGGTTTCATCGACCCAGTTCATACTAAAGTACACGACAGAAGAAGAAACGAATATATCAGTATTATTGATGCCATTGAGAAGAAAATTGTAGACGTATCAGAAGGAAGAGTTGAAGATACGGCTACAGGAAGAAGACTTGACTTTGCTGAAGCTCTTCGTGAAGGACTGATTAGAGAGAATGCTCTACCAGCCGCTATTGAAGGACCGTCTGGAAAGTTGAATCTGGAGACTGGAGAATATCGATCAAGATCCGCTGCTAAATCAACCTCACCAGGTAAATAATTGAAAAAAAACAGAAATTTACAAATGTTATGCAAATTTAAAAAAGTGAAACACAATTTTCTTGTAAAAACAAGTGTACCAAAAAACTATACAGTAATATTTTAATATCAAATGGGCAAAGAAAACTAATAGGCCTTTAATTGTAGGATGGGCATAAGAAGAAAACAATCACTTTCACTTACCAAAGACTTATTTCGATGCCATAGAAGGACTAAACAAAGATGATATACGATTTCTAGATATCTAAATTCACTTACATTTCAATCACTTACATTTATGCCAAAACACTTCAATGACTTACATTTATACCAAAACACTTCAATCACATTTTAAAACACTTACATTTATATCGAATCTCTTAAAATTTAATAAACATTTATAAGAAAATACCGTGGTAATTGAATATATTATAGTGCGTTCTATTGGCTCACTCTCGCCACGACTTCAAGAACGAAAACTAAAGCTAACACCCTTCTCCCAAGAACCACAGCCTCGTACTGAAAGCCCACAAAGACAAAGTTCGTCGTTTGTAAGGTCTCAAATATCAACTATTGAACGGTCAAACGAAAACGCACTGGTACCAGCTGGCAATGAGAACACCAGAATGGTAGATCTGGGAGGCGGAAAGAACGTCATGGTTAATGTCATCAAGGATCAAGAAACTGGAATCGAAAAAGGACAGTACTTCGACCCAGCCTCCGGCATGAAGTTCACTATTCAACTTCACGGCGACCCACATGTCACTCAAACAACAACCAACGTTAGGTCTTCATCTAAAGTACAATCAGTTGAATTGGTACCTCATGCCGAATTTGTCGGTATTGATCTAATTAGGGACAACAGAACAGGAAAAGTCATGAAACTTGAAGATGCTCAACGTCAAGGATTGGCCAAGGTCCACAAAACGAGCAAGGAAAACACCAAAACCTACTCGGCCTTCAGAAGCAACATTGAAGTTGCTGTCAACAAGGGCATTCTCAACAAATGGGCAGACAAAGTTTCGGTCGAAGAAGCGATTAAAGAAGGCCTTTTAGACATTACCAACTTGGCTTACATTCATCCACACACTCACGAACACATCCCAATTGCTAGAGCTGCAAACATGGGATTGGTCGATGTTACTTTGGCCGACACTTTGCCTAAAGGCGTCTTGAACCCTATTAACGGTGGTAACATCTCCGTGAAAGAAGCCGTAGACCTCGGAATCATTTGTCCAAGAACGGGTGAAGTCAGAAACCCTCAAAGACAAGAACGACTAACATGGTTGGATATCACCAAACAAGTTTATGCTGCCATCTCTAGTCAAGGAGTCTACGATCCAACCAAAGGTTACTCTGTACCCATTTGTAGTGCATTGAACGACGGACTAATCGATGTGGCTACTCAAAAATACCGGAATCCGATTTCTGAAGAGAGCTACCTACTAGAAGAAGCTCATCAAAAAGGTCTTTTGGATGCGGATTCACTGAAAATCTTAACCAAACCCTTCCTTCAAGACTATCGCACCTATCGACAACTCAACCTAGTCCAAGCTGTTGATGCCGGTTTGATTGACACTAAGAACAGAACAGTCCAAACTGGAGCCGAAAAGATTCAGCCATTTAGAACGGCAATTCAAGAAGGCATTATTCCATACGATGTAGCTGAAGCCCTGAAAAAGGTGGACAAGTTAACGTTCGCTGAAGCTGTAGGCAAAGGATTGATTGATGTAGCCAAGAACACGTTTACTGACCCAGATTCCGGCAAGATTCTTTCGATTCAAGAAGCTGCCGGAGCTGGTTTAGTCGAGGTTTCTGACTACGGAACAGAAAACGAAACAAACTTGGCTAATGTCATTCAGTCTCACACCTTCGACTCGAGCTCTGGAAGAGTTAGAGACCCAAAAAGCGGACTAAACGTACCATTCAGAGACGCTATCGACCGAAGATTAATCGACCCAGATTCACTAGTTCACGATCTAGATTCGTCAAAGACCTTGACTGTACGTGAAGCCATCTACGCTGGAATCTTGGACTCAAACGGCCGTTATCACGACAAAAAACACAACTCTTATCACTCGATTGTTGATGCCGAAAAGCAAGGTCTAATTGCTTTGATTGCGTCTCCAATGGAAGCGGCTCGTGCTGTAGCTGAAGCCATCAAACGAAGAGATTCAGAAGGCGTCAGATACAAGTTTGGATCACTTGACGACACTTCTCTACACCGTCAATCTCTACCAAGGGTCAAAGAAGAACAAACCATCTTCAGAATCACTCCAAAGCGAACTGAACCAGGATTGTCTGTTCGAGTACGGTCTAACGTGAGTGACGACCATCGTTCTTCACGTGGCCGTTCGCTGGTTGAAGACCCAGTAGCTTTGGCTGATATGCAAGACGAATTCCTGGACAAACTGAAGAGCCAGGGCTTTGACGTTGAATCCAGAGTAGTTGAGAATCCATCAACGATGCAGAACGTGTCATTGAGAGAAGCTGTAGAGACCGGACTGTTCGATGTACCAGCTCAATCAATCGTACACCCAACTACAGGAAGGCATTACCCATTAGCCAAAGCTGTTCACATGAGAATGATCAGAGATGAGGCCGGAAAGAATTTGCTAAGTGCTTTGAATATTGCTCACGACGATCTTGGCCAAATGTCTCTAGGCATGTTGAGTATGGCCTCGCACTTTGGAGCTCATTCTCCGGCTCCAATTGGTGATGATCCTATCCTGGCTCAGGCTGGTCGGAACGGTAATTACTCGGAACAAACTTTTAACGATAACAATGGTACTACTACTAAGCGTACTGAAACCTACACTTCGCCAGATGGGCACACTAAGACTACGACTTATACCGAAAGTACTAGACGGCACTATGAGTAGGTATTGGAAGAGATAGATGAGGTTTTGTGATGACATTGATTTGAAGAAAATCATGTGTTAGGGTGATCAACTTTTGTTATCTTAAAGTTTGAACCAATTTTCGTTTTTCTAATTTTTTGTTACCTAAATTATTGTGAAAATATTAATTATCATATCAAAAAGGTTCAAAATACACATCAAATTCATATTTTCATATCATCGTTATCTACATAATCATTTTTTTTTCATTTCTACAATAGTTATAATATGATTGTCATATCAGTTATATAATATATCATTTTTAAGCCATCAACAACATATTTTTCACAAATTTTTAAAATTTTTAACTAGTCTTTTTGTAAATACTTAATGAATCTTACTTACACTTTACACTACGTACTTACAACACGATTTTACTTACGGTAAAACAGCTAAAACCCTTAAGACCAGCTACATATTAAATCTTACTGTCGCTTCGTGCCATTACACAGTTATAATGAATCTTAAACTCGAGAGATTTTGCATTTTTCCACAGATATTATACTTCAATGATTACTGTATTACACCGAATATTTTATTTTAATATTTACTGTTCTACATAGAATGTTATACTTGAATGATTACTGTCTCATATCGAATATTATACATGAATGATTTGTGCCTTATATTTTACTGAATAAATAAAGAAATTTAATTGTTTTAATAGTTTAAAATGAAGAAAGGTAGGAGAAATAAAATACTGTAGTAACGATAAAAAAGGTAAAAGAAAGTACTAATAAAGTGTCATATGTCGATCGGTAGATGTTGGGTAACAAAAAAAATGAAAAAAGATAAAACGATTAATCTTAAGTCCGTGGTCTCACCTTGGTTCTACCTTTGCCTTACTCTTGACTTATCTTAGCTAAAACATTAGTCTTGACCTACTCTAGCCTAATGTACTCCAAAGACGTTAGGTCAGAGTAATTCAAGACTGAAGTTCGACGACCCAGCCTTACTCTAGTCCTGTCTGTACCTACTCTTCTTACCCGACCTTGACTATCACAGCCTTTCTTTAAACTTTTAACTCTTGGCTTAATATAGTCCAAAAACTGCCTTAAGCCTACCCAGCCTTAATATAGCCTTAAATTGAGAATAGCTACTTTTCTACGACACTATCCTATACTATCAATTGTCAGCGTTTTCCTAGTCTTACTGAGTTATATGCCAGCTTTACCCTACCCTTGCTCCAACCCTAACGTAGCCCAAATTAAACTTTTACTACCGTAGTGAGGCCATTACGGTAGATGAAGTAGTATAGGCCTTACTTTTGTTCTACTTTAAACTTATGCTAAATGAATGTTCTTCGCTTTAAACGTATGCTACCTCAATATAAAGTTGATGAAGAATAACAAAAATGAATACGAAAGTTTGAATCATTTAGGATGACCACTACGGCTACACCGAAGCTCTTAAATCCAAATCACGACCAGTGTCCATGGCCCTATCGACCAACTCACCTCCATCATCAGACCTCGGCGAACAAGCCATGAGACACTTGGAAGTGGTGGAACAATACCAACGCCAAGGCTCGAATATCTTTGACGAATCCACCAAAACCTCAATTCAAGGTTCAATTTACAGCGAACAGGATCGAGATGTGGGCGCGAGTGTGTACGTGGACTCGGATGGAAATTCGATTTTCAGCCAGTCGGCTGGCAGAAAAATGACAAAACCCGACAAATATACGGCAAGAGAAGGCATGGATGAGAGTTTTTACGAGCAGAATATGGGGGTTTCGACCTACGAGACCATGGTGGAGAAGATGTCCAAGAGCCAGATTCGACCGGTCGATATGAACGCCAACTTTGACAAGAGATTGGAGAGGACTAAGGTAAGAGTTTGAAAGCTTTTGGGAAAACAAAATTATTGTTGAATGAGATTTTGAAAAATTTTGTAGTTTTAAAATTTTTTTTTAAAAATTGAAATTTCGAAAAAATTTTAAAATTTTGAATTTTTTTTGAAATTTCGAAAATTACGGCTAAAAAACCTCAGAACGTGACCTCTCCCAACGATTTCGTTCATAAATTTATGGGCCAGATGTGCCTCAAGATATATGACAAGAGTAAGGAATCAGAGACGACCAGATTATGTAAACAAAACATTTTCAAACAAATTTGCGGAAACTCTAGGGAACGTTTGATCGGAACGTGTTCCAGGCTTCTTTGTCGTTCTGCTAATGCGATTTGGCCAAATTTTGTATTTTCGGGGTGGATTCGGGATTAGTTTTGAGTATTTTTAAACTTGGGACTTCGGTAGGAAGGGGGTGGAGCAGGGACGTCGTTTGGGGGGGGTGGTTCTTCGGGGTGACTCCCCCCCTCCAGAGCCGATCCGAAAAAATTCACGGGTAGTAGGAACGTGCAAATTGGAAAAAACTTTTTCGAAACATAGGTGTACAGCTACCTGCGGACCAAAAAATATTTTTTTTTATTTCTACCCTCATCCCTGCTAGAAAAAAATTTAAATTTGTAGCAACGTCTCTGATCTAACCTTGCTTTCGAGTGGTTTTGTCTCAGCTTTGGTGTAAAATACGTCTAAATTTGAAGTTTCTTCGACATTGTTTTGGAGTAGATTTGGCCTAATTTAAACCTAGTTTTAGGCTTATTTTTAGAGTTTATTTGAGCTTATTTTAGAATATTTTTGGCTATTAGCTTGTTTAAATAACTCTGTGCTCACCTTAACACGATAATTTATTTTGAGAGGGGGCTCAGCTTTAGTTGATCAAATTTGCTTTGAAGGGCACAGAATTATCTGAACAAATTTTTTTTAAAGGGGCTTAGAATTATTTGAACAAAATTGCTTTTAAGAGGACACAGAATTATTTGAACAATTTCGCTTTTAACAGGGCACTGAATTATTTGATCAAATTTGCTTTTAAGCGGGCTTGGGCTGAAGTAGTAGAATTTTAAATTTTTACGATTTTTTCGTTAACCGAGTTATTTTTGAGCATAGGGTATCAATTGAAATGACTTTTTGGATTTATGTGATTCTCCTTCTATTTATTTGGTCTATATTGTTGTGTCAAATGGCGTTAGACCATAAAAAAGAAGGTTAGCTAAAAGCATATGGAACGGTTTAGAAGGTTTTTGAATTTAGATTTTAAGACTAAATTTTTGAAATTTTGAATTTTTTTTTGGTTTTACCTCCCTCTCCCTTCCCCCCCCTTCCTCTAGAAAAATTCTGTAGCGACGTGCTTGGTCAAACTCCTGTAACGACACCCCTGGCTAAACCTATTTCCACATTTCTCGTGCCGTCCCACTGACCAACTGACCATCCAGAATAGGTTGTTTTGCCTCGAGGAAATTGCAAAAAATTCCCTCGTTAAGCATCGTTTTATATCCCCGTTCGGCCCGAACTCTCTCACTCTCCTCTTCCGGCACGATCTCTCGCGTTCTCTCGGATTTTTATGGAATTTTACCTCTTCTATCTCTCGGGCTTCACCTGTTCCCCCAAAGACCTGAATTTAATACGACTGGCGGCAAAATTTTTGAGGAATGTCGAACAATCGTATAATCTTTGTTGTTTTTTGCAAATTGTTTTCGACAATGACCAAAGTTTAGGCATGGAAAGAAAGTTTTTGCGTTTTTAATTTGTAAAGAAATTTACTGCGCTTTTATGGTTTGTAAAGAAAGTTCTTGCCGTTTTATCATTTGTAAAGAAAGTTCTTTTCATTTTTTGGGTTGTAATTAAAGTTCTTGCTGTTTTAAACCTTGTAAAGAAAGTTCTTGCCATTTTTTAATTTGTAAAGAAAGTTTTAGCGATTTTATCATCTGTAAAGAAAGTTCTTGCTCTTTTTTGTTTTAGAAAAAAAATTTGCTATTTTTCGTAAAAACAAGTGAATTTCGAGGTAGTGCAGGCTGCTGATGGCAAGTTATACGAAAGATTGGTTTTATGATTTTGTAAAGAAAGTTCTTGCAGTTTTGTGCTTTGTAAAGAAGGTTTTTGCTATTTTTTGATTTGTAAAGAAAGTTTTTGCAGTTTGTGATTTGGAAAGAAAGTGCTTGTCATTTTTCGTTTTGTAAAGAAAGTCCTTGCCATTTCATGTTTTGTAAAGAAAGTTCTTGCACTTTTTGTTTTTCAAGCCAAGTTTCGTAAGAAAATCGAAAAAAAGTGATTATATTACTAGAAATGTCATAGTAAACCCCTCTATCAGTAAAGTCATTTTGTTGCGCGCCATTACTTTCACCCCCCCCCCTTACTTTAGAGCAATATATAGTAATAGTTTTTGTTTTTGCGACAAAACTTTTGACAAAGTGTTTATTGTTTTGATGTGGAAAGTAAATAATCGCGGGTAACCTGCGCGATTCTTCTTCTAATTCCGTCGCGAATTTAGGAACGTTCCTCAACGTCCCCCCAACGTTCTCTCCAATCCAAACGAACTCTCGCTAATTTTGCAATTTTTTGTATTTCAACGTCTGAACTTGAAGTCGAATTTGTAATGTTTTGACTAATGAACTAGCTAACATGTACAGTTTTAACTGTTACAACCTGCTTCTGGAGTGATTGTTGATTCTGGGGGCTCGCTAGCTAATTTTGGAGCGATATTGTAGTAGATAAGACTGTTTTTGGTTTATATTGTAGTAAACAAACTAGCGTTTGATCTATTATTTGATCTATATTGTAGCAGATAACGCTATTTTGGGTACATATTGTTGTAGATAAGGCTATTTCTAATCTATATTATAAGAAAGCTAGCTGTTGATCTATATTGTAGTAGAAAGCTAGCTGTTGGTCTACATTTTGATTTATATTGTAGTAGATAAGGCTAATTTGGATCTATATTGTTGTAGATCAGTCTATTTTGGATCTATATTGTTGTAGATAAGGTCACTTCTGATATATATTGTACTAGACAAGCTAGCTTTTGGATTTAAATTGTAGTAGATAAGGCTATTCCGGATCTATATTGTAGTGGACAAGCTATCTTTTGATCTAAATTTCGTTTTGTATTCAAGTAGATAAGGTTGTTTTGGACCTATATTGTAGTAGATCAGTTCATTTCTGATCTATATTGTAGTAGACCAGCTCATTTTTAATCTATATTGTTGCAGATAAGGCCATTTTGGATCTATATTGTTGTAGATTAGGCCATTTTTGGATCTATATTATAGCAGATCCGCTTATTTTATGATCTATATTTGAGTAGAAAAGCTAATTATTGATCTATATTGCAGTAGATAAGGCCATTTATGATCAATATTGTAGTAGGCAATCTACTGTTGGATCTGACTTTCCTTTTCAATCTATAATAGTACTAATACTGTGCTAAATATAAACTTAAACGGTGAAAACTCATTAGACCTATCTTGTAAAAAGTCTAAAGAAAAGACTTTTAAAAATTATTTCCGAGAGTACGATGCTCCCGAGTACGTCTCACGCTTCTTCGGAACAGAAGAAACGAAAACGCAAAAAGTCGTTGGTCGTAATCCATCGAATCGTCATCAATACTGAGGTAGAGTAAGAAATCTTGGATTACTCTGGCCTAACGCCTTTGGAATACGTTAGGCCAGAGTAAGCCTAAAGTCTAGACTAATAAGGAAAGTAGCCGACCTGTCCCGCTCTGATTAACTTTAAACTTTTTATACAGAAAGACCATGTCAGATAAGATCTTCAGCAAAGTACTAAATCGCGTTTTCTAGGAGATTTTGAGAAAATCGAGAGTAAAAGTTTAAGTTTTGAAATTCCCGCCAAATTGGCATTGTGTTTCAAGCTTGTAACTTGCTCATTTTTTGACTTTTAATAATTTTTCTTTGATATTCTAGTAGAAAACCTTTAAATGAACCTACATTTTTAAATTTGTAAGCATAGCTTGGCTGGAAAGTCGAAAAAAGTGCTTGAAACACAATGCCAAATTTGCTAAATTGGTGGTAAATTCAAATATTTAAAGTTTAAAACTCAAAAACGCGAGTTAAAATTTTTTATGGGTACTGTTGGTGGTACAATGAATTCATATTAAAATTTTGACCTGCTTCTGAACGAGGCAGGTTGGGTACTTTGCTTGTAAATTAAGAAAAAAAAATTTTTAATTTAAAAATTTTTAAAAATAAAAAATTTTTTTAAATCTTCCAGATTTTATAGTAGACAAGCTTTAATATAAGAACAACGTTAAAAGTACCTAAATTTTTTAATTTCAGGAAATTGAAGTAGTCCCTCTGCCTTCTGGTCAGTCTCAAGCTTCATCAGCACGCCAAAGCGAAGAGAAGGATGTATCTCACAGTAGTGATACCCAATCCTTTGTCACTCCACGCGAAACTCCAGAAAAGGATTCGACTTCTGAAGCCACGGATTCACAGTTGTTGGCTTCTGTAAGCAAGTCGGCTCATTGGACGGATTCTGAAGGCAAATCTGGTCGTGTAGCGGATTCTGAAGCTAAGTCGGTTTCTGTAACGGATTCAGAAGCAAAATTAGTTCATTTAACGGATTCTGAAGCCAACCACCACAACTCGGACGATGATTTTGTTATGGTAGACAAAGACGACGTCAAACCAGAAGCAGAAGACGAAGAAGATCAAAGCGGAAGTGACAAAGACTTTGGAGTTGAAGCCGAGCTCGAAGCCAATGTGAAGGAAGTGGAGCTGAGAAAGAAGCGAGAGAGTGAAGAAAAGCCTTCAGAAGGCGACGGAAAGGACCTGAAAAGCCCTGAAAGCCAAGAGTTGGAAGCCTCGGACCGTGCTCACAAGCTGGACGCCAACAAATTGGTTTCAGAATCCCAAACTACAGAAATTCAGAGAAGCAATGTGGGCATCGGAGCCGTTCAGTCAACTTCAGAAGCCAGCACGGAGGCTTCAAAGCCAACAATGAGCTCTTCCGAAACCATGACGGAGCAAATGACTTCAGAATCTATGGCTACACAATCTGAGGGTCATAATATGGGCACGATGGCTACACAATTCGAAGGCCATAATATGGGCACGATGGCTACACAATCTGAGGGTCATAACACAGGCACGATAGCTACACAATCAAACGAAGCAGCTACAGGATCTACCGTCGATCAAAAATCAACAGACTCCGCGGCTACACAGTCCGAAGCACCAAAGTTAGCGTCCAAGACAAGCGAAACTTCAGCAGCTTCACGCTCAACAGAAGTCGGTCTTCAAACAGCTCCGCCTGAAGCGGACTCTCGAAATGAAGCGATTCAGGAGCTGAACGATCTCCGGAATGCACTGGAGAATTGGCTGGAGGAATCGGAAGACTTGATGCACAGTCAGCGAGCACCAAGTGCCGATCCGAAGGTGTTGAGAGCTCAACTTCAAAGCCATGATTTGTATATTAAACTTGTCGATGATAAGCAGGAGAGGTGGGTTTGGGATTTTAAAATTGAATTTAAAATTATTTTTTAATTTTTTAAAAGTTAAAATTTAAAAATTTTTTTTAAATTTACAAAAAACTTAAAGTTTTCATAAAAATTTCAAAAATGGAAATTTTTTATATTTAAGTTACAAAAAAAAATTTTTTAATTTAAAAAAAAATTTTTTTTATAAAAATTTCAAAAATGAAATAAATTTAAATTTTTAAATTTGAACAAATTTTTAAAAAAAAATTTTTTTTATTTTAAAAATGAAAATTTTGATTTTTGCAAATTTAACCGAATCGAAATGGTATTACAGCCCCATTTTAAACCGACGAACCCCCCTTAATGAGATAAGGGATCAGCGAAAATAACTTACCTTTTTGGTGAGACTCGCGCTTTCGTTTTTATAAACAAGATGTTGGAGGGGAATCGATGAAATACCTAAAGTTTTGTAGTTTTAAAAACATTATGTGGGCTCTAATTTTTTTTTGGCTGGGCTGGGCATTTTCCATCTTAATTTTTATAGTACCAATAGCGCTAATTTTAAAAAATTGTCAAAAAAGGGTGAAAAATGAGTCATCTTTAGCAATAAAATACGGAAAAAATTGGGGTTTGAGCTGTTTTTGCATTAGAAACGAGGATTTTTAAAATTTTAAAAATTTATTTTAACCACATTAACCAGGACTTGATTCCCATGCCTACATGAGAGTTCATTTTAATGCCTCAAGACTTCATTTCATTGCCATTTGTTTCAGCATCACCAAGTTCCTGCGCATGGTGGAGTATCATGACGACGCCGACCTCCGTGACGGCGCCGCTTCCATCGACGCACGCTATTTGTCGCTGATTCGCGGCGTCCACGAACGACGCCAGAATCTGTCGGATTCGTTGGCGTTAGCTGAGGAATTCCATCAACTAGCAGGACCACTAAAACAATGGGTACAGGACACAAGGAAGAAGATCACTCAACTCTGCAAAGTGGTCACGACTCCAGAGGAAATCGACCGGAATCTGGTGCGGCAGGAACAGCTGCAGGTAGGACTGGAGGGATATGGTTAGGGCTGGATGGAGGTTATTAGGGTTAGAGGGGTGTTATTAGGTTGTTCAAATAATTCAGTGCCCTCTGAAATAAAATGTGTTCAAATAATTCTGAGCCCTTCTGAAAAAAAATTGTTCAAAAAATTCAGAGCCTCTGAATGAAAATTTGTTCAAATAATACTGAGCCCTTCCAAAGAAAACTTGTTCAAATAATTCTGAGCCCTTTCCAAAGAAAATTTGTTCAAAAAATTATGAGCCCCTTCTCAAATTAATGTTTGGGGTTCGGGGACACAGAATTATTTGAAAAACCTATAGTTTTAAGAATTTGTGATATAATCAACCATTAAACCCAATAAATCGACCACTTTTCAGCTGGAAATCGACGGAAAACGGGAACGCTTCGACGAACTGGTCGGTCTCTACGTCGAGTTGGGCAAGTACGTTGGCTCGGACGATGAGAACGAGCTGGACGCCCAAGTCCGCAACCTCACCACCCACTACGATGCGCTAGGCCAACGATGCCTGAACTGCGGGATGGCATTGCGCAACTTTAGCCAAGACATGAGCAACTTCCTGGCCGATTCCGACGAACTGGCCGACTGGTTGACACAGGTCGAAGACGAGTTTGAACGAATGGAACAAACGCCGTTGGATGGAGAACAGCTGGTCAGGATTAGCGACGAGTTTTCGGACCTAGCCAGCGCCATCAGCGAACGCCAGTCCACCGTCCTTCGCATCGTCGATGAATCCCGCGAACTCTGCGCCCACACTTCCGGCTCCGAAGCCATGCAGATGTCGGCAAGAATCGATCGCCTCCAATCACGATACAACGACCTTCTGAATCAATCCATGAAACGCATCGACATCCTAGCTCAAGCCATCCAAATCAGCAACGAACTGACCGAAATGGTGGAGCAATCCGAGGAATTCCTGGACGATTGTGACGACACTTTCTACCTACTAGACGAAGTAACAGTAGACGAACAAGTGGAAGCCCTGATCGGCCTGGAACAAATGCTAGAAAGCAATGCCGAGCTGGTCGAGGAGGTGGAGAAGGTATCGATGGAGCTACGATCACTGACCAAAGGCGCCGACGAAGTGGAATTGATCAAACGATCCGACGAACTGAGGGAGCGATTCGCCGCCGTACGAGCACTCATCGACGAACGACTCCGCCGCATCGAGAACGCCGACCAAACTCAACGTGAAACCTTCACCGCGGTCGATTACTGGCTAGAGTTCTTCGAAGAAGCACTGGCTCAAACCGCCGATGCGGAACAACCACCAGCCGATCTACACCGAATCAAAGAGCTGTGCCTAGAACAACGTGCCCTCAACGAACGGATGGCGTCGGAACGTGCCGGCGTCCGTGATCTGATCGCAGAAGCACAGCGAATCGCCCGGGACCAAAACCTGACCATGGAGAACAATCCCATCGAAGCCAAGCTAGTCCGGCTGAGATGGCTGATGGGAGAAGCGGCCAAGTCCGGCGCCGAACGACTAGCCATCCTTGAGCAAACTGCCCACCTCTTGCGCAGCGAAGTGATGCCTGAGTATGAACAAATTCGAATGAAACAAGAATTTGGCCAAGGAGTTCAGAGGGAGGTACGAAACGAGTTAGCAGCTCAACGGCACGATCAACCATCTCAATTTAACTACCCACCGTCCCAACGGAACGACCAACCGTCCCAACAGAACGATCGGTCGTCTCAAGATATTCATTCATCGTTCCAACAGATTGACCAACAGTCCCAACAGAACAACCAACTACAACAACAAACAGCCCCACCGTCCCGCTTCGAAAAATGGCAGATCTACCTGGATGAAGCGGCCCTAAAGCTAAACAAACCACTCGGTGCACTGGTCGAAACTGTCCAAACCCAACTACAAGATCTGGACAAGTTGTCCAACGATCTGGCCGAAAACGAACCCTTCTTCCGCCAAGACTTGGCCGATTCCACGGCCACAAAAGCCGAATCTCAGGAAGCGGCCACAAGCCTCGATTCCACCTTTACAGGCCTGAAAGAGAAGCTCCTCCAACGACATTCACAACTCGAACAAGCCATGGAGGAAGCGGTCCAACTCGAAGGTCAGCTGGAAAGCCTCACCAAGTGGACCACGGCGGCCGAACGAGCTCTAGCCAATCAACCACCCTTCTCACGCCGACCGGACAAACTTGAAGCCGGCTTGGCCGATCAACAAAACTTCTTGGAGAAGGTCCAAGAGCAGAAGTTGAAGCTGAACGATCTTATTCAAGCTTCGACCAAGGTTCAGTTCAAATGCGACAAAAAGGATGGGATCTATGTCAAGAATCAGGTGGTCACCTTGAAGAATAAACTTGAGAAGACTAGCCAGAATGCGAATGAAAGGGCCAAGGGTAAGATTATAGACTTTTTTTTACAAAACATCTAAACCACCCTTTTTTAGCTATGAAATTCCCTCTAATCCCTATTTTTAGCCATGGAAACCGCCCTAACTGAGATCCAAAGCTACCTGACCGATTCACAAAAACTGTCCGAATGGACAAAACACCAAGTCGAGCACCTCAACTCGGAGCCAATCGACTCAACCGCCGAACGAATCAAAGCCCAAGTGGAACAACATAAAGCATTCCTGGACGAGCTAGTCGCCCGACAAGAAACCGTGGATATTATCCATGGTGCAGGACAAGTATTGGCCGAACGAGCCCCGAAAGAAGACAAAAAATGGTTCCATCAACAGAAAGAACATCTCAAAGCCGACTGGGCCAGCCTACAACAAGCGGCCAAACAGAAAACCAAAGACCTGGACGAAGCATTGGCCGCCTCAGGCCAATTCGAAGACGGCCTTCTGAAGCTGGTCGAATGGATCGACCAGAAATTGCCAGTCCTGGAGAAGGAACTCGAAGACGGTCGATTCGGAGGTGACATGGAAACGGTAGATAAGCTAATAATCGAGAATAACGAGCTAGAACAACAGCTGAACCAAAAGCAGAAAGTCGTCGAGATAATACGATCAAGATCCATCGAAATCCTATCAGAATCTGGAGACGAAGAAGCCCAACAGATCAAGAACAAGATCGACGAACTCGAGAACAAGTGGTTCAGACTGGGCAAAGCGGTCCAACTCAAAGGCAACAACCTCAACATGGCCATCAACGAAGCCGTGGACGCAACAGAATCTGCCAAAGAACTGAACGATGAATTGAACAAAATCGAAGCCAGAATCCGAAGAGAAACCTCACAAACCACGGACGACGCCGAGAACTCAAGGCTAGCCTTGGAGAAGCTGGTCGATATCAAAAATGCATTCGAAAAAGAAGCCGAACTCTACAACAAGCTGCTAGGTGTCATAGACAATATCAACCCAAAAGCTCATCCAAAAGCCCAACCAAACCTACAACATCTGGCCGATCAAGCGGCCGAACGATGGGATCAAGTGGCGGCATTGATCGACGAAAGAATCAAACAAGCCCAAGATCAATACAACAACCTGACAGTCAACGATGAGAATCTGAAGAAGTACACGGAGATGGCCGAAGACGCGGCCAAAACCATCGAACAGACCAATGATAATGCACAGACGGCCGAAAACCTAGAAGATATCGTGGAACTGATCCTGAAACATGATGAATTCAAGAAACAGCTCAGGCAGGAACAGCCGAACATAGAGAAGGTCGTGGAGGTTGGCCAAGGACAAAAGGCATCGAACGATGTGATCAAGATCCCAAAGAGGATTCAACAGAGATTTGGAATTGGTTCAGGGGTTAAAAAGTCGTTGAATCCAAAGGAAAAGAGGTATGATTACTGGTAGGGAGGAAAAAGTTTGATTGAAATGTTATTATAATGATTATCAGCCGAAAGTATGGGATATTACCCAAGGTAGAGGTCGAGAATGTTGAGTTAGAGAAGGTTATGGCCTTGAAAATTGATTTTTCTGGCCGAATTTTTAGATAATTTACATTTTTAGGTAATAAAAATTGAATAAATTTTTGAAATCAATACCATCAACAACATTTTCAGATCGAAACGCCAAAAACAAGCCGACCAGTTGGAAGAACAATGGCAACAAATCTGGAAAAACGCGGTAGAACTCGAGGAACACCTGAAAGAACGACGTGCTCACGTCGAAGAACTCCAGCGTCTAGAAGACTTCACCTTTGCCGATTGGCGTGACAGATACCTAAAATGGATCGACGCCACCAAAGCCCGGCATTCCGACCTCTTCAGACAAATCGACCGAAACGGCCAAGGTCACGTCACTCGACAAGAGTTCATTGAAGGCGTCCTGAAGACCAAATTCCCAACAACAAGGCTGGAAATGGAGAAGGTGGCGGATCAATTCGATCGAAATGGCATGATCACTTCGAAGGAGTTCGCAAATGCTTTGAGATATGTTGATATAAAGAAGGTAAGGGGGAGTTCGATGGCGTTTTTGAAGGACATGATGTAGGTATTCGATACCATGTTTGCCATAAAGTCCTCATAATTCCCTTTTCATTTTATTTCAATTATAAAAGACCCAATAAATTAACTAAAAGAAGAAAAACTTGAAAAATTTAACATTTTGACCATTCCAGCACCGTCTACCAGCCGCTCCAGGGCCTTCAACCACGCCAAGAAGACAAATCGCCATCGGCCTAACCAAATCTCCAACCCAAGTCAAAGTAGAAAAGGAGAAAATCGCAAAGGAAATCACTAAAGAAAGCGAGAGGTGTAAATGCCACAATCATTTCAAGGTAAGAGGGAAAAAAGATGTTGTTTTAGGTAGAAAAGGGGGCCTTTTAGCGGAAAAAAATGTTGTTTTAGGTAGGAAAAGGGTTTATTGGGGCAGTTTTTGGTGAAGATAATTTTGAGAATGGATTTTTATCTTTAGTTTTTGTATTTTTGGGGATGCGCAAATAGGTTTTTGATTTTAAAACATCGATAATATTAACATAGACATAAAAAGCGAAAAATTTTTTTACGATTTTTGAAAAAAAAAAGAATTTAATAACGTTTTTAATCACATATGGTCTAAAAATGACAGTATTTACTCAAAAATCCAAGAAAGAACGACGAATTTTGGTTAAAATTGCGAAAAACCCTAAAAAAGCGCGAAACTTGTCTTTTGATTGGGTTTCGCAAGCCCCTCTCGAAGAGAGAAAAGCAATAAGACTCCCGTTTGCTTCGGGAAGAGCCGCAGCAGCGTGGCGCAGTGGAAGCGTGCTGGGCCCATAACCCAGAGGTCGGTGGATCGAAACCACTCGCTGCTAATCGTTTTTTGCTGGGATTTTTTCGAAATTTTTTGAACTTTTTTGAATTGGCATTGTATTGGCATGTGGTTACAGTATTGTAGGGACTATTTGGAGTATTTTTAGAGTAGTTTTTGTGGTTTTAAAGGGGTGGAAATGGTATTTTTGGGGTTTTTTGGAGAAATTTTGGAAAAGATAAAGGGGTTGTTAAGGTTTTTGATGGTTTTTAGGTAATATAAATGTAGTTTTGCACAAAAATAGTATCGAAATGAGATGTAGAATATCAGCTTTTTATAAAAATGACATTTCAGATCCAATGCGACCGCGAAACCAAGGGTGGTGCGGTGAAATACGCGTTCGGAGACTCTCAAATGAAGCGAATGGTACGAATTCTGCACTCTACGGTAATGGTACGAGTTGGTGGAGGCTGGGAAGAGCTGTCCAGCTTCCTAAAAACTCACGACCCATGCCGTGCCAAAGGACGAACCAATATCGAACTGAACCACGGCCACGAATTTGTTATGCCAGCGGTCACGCCCTTGGGCGCCAACGACGTAATGGGCACGTTTGGTACCAGGAAGAGCTCGGCTGGTACAAGTAGTGGACGAAGCACACCGAGGAAGTTTGTCAAGTACAATGTGGACGATTGGGACAAGGTCAATCAGGGACCGGTTATTAAGGTGAGTGGTATGGGGGTTGAAGTTTTTTGAGGGGGGGGGGGGGGGGGTAATGGATTTTTTCTTTATCTGATTTAATGAAAAAATGATTAAAATCAACAAAAAAGGGGGATTAAATGCGAAAAGTGCCATTATTTATTAACATTTGTTTCGAATTCGAAATGTTGCAGGTGAGAGAGAAGACCGAGCGAAGTGTGCCAATGTTCAAAAAGCCCCTAACTCCAAATTCGTCATTGAATTCGAGCCGAATTTACTCAAGACAGGCCAGTGATCTGAGTGCTAAAGGTAAGGGATTGCGATTGATTTTAGTTTTAAAAATTTAAATTTTGGAAATCTTTGGTGTTTACAGGGGTTGGAAAGAAAGTTTTGGCTTTTTTTAGCTTTTGGAAAGAAAGTTTTGGCGTTTTTACAGTTTGTAAAGAAAGTTCTTGCTGGTTTTTGGTTTGGAAAGAAAGTTATTGTCAGTTTATGTTTTGGAAAGAAAGTTCTTGTCATTTTTTAGTTTTTAATTAAAGTTTTGGCATTTTTTGTTTTTGGAAAGAAAGTTATTGCGAATTTTTTGAGATATAAAGAAATTTTTCATTTCTGCAGGCTGCGTGTGACAAATTATACGAAAAATGGGTTCTTTCGATTTGGAAAGGAATTCTTTGCAATTTTATGTTTTGTAAAGAAAGTTATTGCTATTTCTTACTTTGGAAACAAAGTTCATGCTTTTTCAATTTCAGTAAAGAAATTTTTTGTTATTTCTGAATTTGTAAAGAAAGTGTCTTCATGTTTCATGTAAAATTAGCTTTGCTTTACTAAACTTTTCATTTTCAGACGGCTCAACCACCAAGATCCCCCGCCCCCTATCATATCAGAACTTGGCCCAATCAGCCTCGAGGCCATCGAGCAGAGCCAGCGACGTGTCCGAAGCCTCGGGCACACCGTCACGCCTTCCTAGAAAGACGCCGTCACGCTCCGAATCCAGAAATTCATAATATAATTTATTTTATTTAAATTCATTTTAAAATTTAAAAATTTTTTTAAAAAATATTTTTTTTTCAAATTATTGTCTAAAAAGCGTGTCAGCTAAAAACGCTCAATTTGTATTTATTTATTCTATCTTTTATCGTTTTTTTCGATTTGATAATGTCATTTTCCGAAATTTTTAGTTTTGAAATTTCAAAAAAATTGAAAAATGACATTTTTAAATCGACTCCTTGATGTCTAAAGTTATGTTAAGCTAATTTCTTTGTTTAATTTTGCGAAAAACGGTTAATATAAGGAAGGATTTTGGTTGGAAATGGCATATTTTAAAGTTCGTGTCATGATGATACCTTTTTTTGGAAAAAGATGACTTATTTTCTGGATTTTGCGAAAAATTGTAAAAAATTGACTTTTTGATCGAAAATATGGCATATTTTATGATTTTTATGCCATATTTTGTTTTTATGTCGTATTTCAGAAATAGTGTCATCATGACATTTTTTTGGAAAAGCTGACTTGTTTTCTGGATTTTGCGAAAATCCTGAAAAATGATGTTTTAGTCTCAGAAAATTTAAAAAATGACGTTTTTAACTAAAAACTCCTCCAAAAGTGTACCAATTGCTAAGTGGTACCAATAATAATTGTGTCTTACTGTGACTGTGTCTTATGGTAATGTAACTGTGGTATGTCACTTGCATTCACTACTGTCAAACATTCAACTCTTCTTTCGACAAAATGCCAGTTTTTTCCTCTTTTCATCCTAATTTTGTTGTTTTTACTCATGTATAATAAAAAGTTTTAAAATGAAATTTTGAAATTTTAAAATTGGAAGTTTTGGTACTGTATCTTTTGGTATATTTATTTACTATTGGGTTAAGATTAATTATAGGGATCTACTTTAACCTTCCCTACCAAAAATAAGCTTAATGCTATCTTTTAAAAAAGTTTTGTCGTCATTTCACATTTATTAACACGGCAAAAAGCGACAAGACTTTTTTAAACATTCCAAAATCAAAATATTGATTGCGCGATTGTATTATGTTTTACCCTACCTTGCCGTGTATAAAGTATGTTAAATTAAAGTAAAATAGACTTGGTTAAGGCAAGGCAGGGGCAGATTTTCGATTCAAAAATGAAGAAGTAAGCTAATTTCTCAAAATTTTAGGCTTAAAGTTTTAATTTATGTTAAAATATTAGATTTGAATTTAGATAACAAATTTGATTTAAAAATTGTTATTTTACATCACTTTTCAGTGCCTTTCTATCATATCAAGTTTAACACGTCCGCTTCAAAATGGTCCCACCACGAAAACAAACCTTGGCATTGCGTGCCAGTGGTTGCCGGAAGAAGTCATTTCAATTGAAACTTCGAACCCTACGCGTGCGTGAAATCGCTGTTCCTCGTGAATTGTTGATTTTTTTTCGTGGATATGAATGTTAATTGTCACTTTTTTGTTAAGATATTGTTTTACAGGATATTCACCATGTTCAACATGAAGATCGAGCATTGTCGCAGATGTTGAATGATGGAGAAGATGGGAAACGCATCAAAAGGTGGACAAACTGCTGGTGGTGGATATAGAAGGCACTAAAAGGTTTGTTTTTTGTTTTGTTTTTAGAAGTTTTGCGGGAAAAATGAGGATTTGATGTTATAATTGATGCGAGGTTACGTTTTGTGTTATAGACGTTATTTTGGGTCAAATCTTGGAGAATTTTGACGTTGTTAGAAGGGTTTGGGTTTGACGAAAGTGTAGTATTGGTTAGGTTTGTTAATGCATGTAGGGTTTTGAGAAATGATGAATTTGGATATTACACTAGGCGTCTGATGATAAATTGCGACTTTTTTGGTATTCAGCTATAGTGTGAGGTACTGTAAGGTGATATTATGTTTAATAGTGGTATTGTAGATATATTTAGCTACATCTTAAGCTATTCTACGCATAAGGATTTTAAAAATTTGGTTTTGAGTTTTTAGAGAGTAAGGCAAACTTAAAATAATGTTCCTGTTGCTATATTGCGCGAGATTGAAGGTTATAAGGGTTATAAAAAATCTATTATAATCGTTTTGTATATTTACCATGTTTTAGAGCCAAGTTAGCGATCAAGAAACGGAGAATTTGAAAGTTATGGCCACAAAAACATCTTCACCTTGCCGATTTCATAGTGACTTGACCAAATTGCACAGAACGTACTAGAGATTAGCTTCAACACCATGTAATACGATTCATTAGACCCAGCACAAGTTGTTTTACATGTAAGTTCTAGTATTTATTTGTTTTTTGTGATTTTAGGCCAGTTTGGGAGATTTTTCATTAGGTATACATATCCATCTGATGGGTAATATACTTTTTTTGATTTTTTTCGTTTTTATTGGCTGTAGATAGTGCGACCGTCTGGAATTGGGATAAGAAGGCTGAACAATGTTGTTAGCATCAAATCAAGGCTTGGCAAGCACGGTGGCGGCTAGGATCAACGTTGGAAACCTTGTCGTTGGTGCGAAGTGTGGATGGGTGGATAAGTGTGGCCAATTGTGGATTCTACGGCTTTTGTAAGTCTCTTTTCTTAATCATTTTATAGTCAAAAAGGGATTAGAGTTAAGGTATCTTATATGTTATCAATTGAGTTTAAATTTTGGGGTTTAATTTGATGTTGTCCATGGCCGTTTATTGTCATGGATAATATCAAAATTAAGGAAGTAAACGCTTATTGAAGTTTTAATGATAACTAAGCAATCCTTGCTGTGTTTGTCACATTTTAATACTAAAATATTAAATTTTATGATTCCTATTTGTAAAATATTAAGCTTGACATGAGATGTGTCATGGATAATATAAAATTTAGAAATTTTTCAATGTTTTTGAGCTTTCATATTAAATAATAGCTGTGTGTTTCAGAAGTTGCTCGAAGGTGCTATTAATGTGATATAATGTTCAAAACGGCTCAAACGTCGATCATCTTCAAGGTATAGATGGTTCAAGTCCAGTGCCAAACCAAATGCCAAATCAGATCATCAAAGAAGCTGAGCCAAGCTGTCGTCCGCCCGTAATCTTTAGGGCATAGAATCTCTAATGTCATTGTTGTATATTTTCTTGTATTTGGCGTGTTATTACCTTTATTTATCGCGTTGTTGAGGTAGTCTCTGTACGAGCTCTCCCTTCTGATGGATTTGGGGCTTTACTATGTTAGGGGGAGGCCCAAGAGCGAGGTTGGCGTGGCAGGTCTGTTGAAGGGTTACAGGTGGTCATTACTTTTGGAATTTTAGAAGTTTTGAGCTGACTAAATTTAATTTTTCGCCAAAAATCTGAGTTTTTTGAAGTTTTGATAAAATGCCACTTTTAAAATGGAATAAATTAGATTTTTAGTTCTAAAATACGATTTTTTGGATCAAAATTGTAATGATAGTGAATTTTTTAGAAGAAAAAAAAACATTGAAAAGTGACTTGGATTCAGATCTTGTCATACCTCTTTGCACAGTGCCTGAGTGTAGCTTTGACTGGCACTTCCGGCTGAAGTCTGGTCGCAAAATGGACGGAAAGTTCAGCTTTTATAGGTTTTTGACTAAAACTTGATTTTTATTTGTAAACTTGAAAAAATGCTTTACAAAACTAATTTAAATTTTCGTAAAGTGTACCGTTGTTTGTCTCACTGTTTTTAAAAACCTTTCTGCTTTAAAAAATTGTAAATTTCCGTTTTATCGGTACCAAAGCTTGACTTTTTTCGTTTGAAAGCCTTTTTTTCCGCTGAAAAACAAATTTCTGTCCATTTTCCCACCTGGCTTGGTTGGACTTGCTTGATCTCTGTCTCCTCAGGTACGCCTTGGGTGTTGCTCTAACTGTTCGTAAAGTTTCTGAGAAGTCGGAAGGCATCTCGACAGAGACTTACCTTGGGGAGGGGAATTCTTTCCCTTCCCCGTGGGTGTGGGTGGGACCGAGTCCCTGCTTGCAAGTCCAACCAAGCCAGGTGGGAAAATGGACAGAAATTTGTTTTTCAGCGGAAAAAAGGCTTTCAAACGAAAAAAGTCAAGCTTTGGTATCGAGAAACCGAAAATTTACAACTTTTTAAAGCAGAAAGGTCTTTTAAAAACAGTGAGACAAACAACGGTACACTTTACGAAAATTTAAATTAGTTTTGTAAAGCATTTTTTCAAGTTTACAAATAAAAATCAAGTTTTAGTCAAAAACCTATAAAAGCTGAACTTTCCGTCCATTTTGCGACCAGACTTCAGCCGGAAGTGTCAGTCAAAGCTACACTCAGGCACTGTGCAAGGAGGTATGACAAGATCTGAATCCAAATCACCCTTCAAAGTTTTTTTCTTCTAAAAATTAACTATCATTACGATTTTAAACCAAAAAATCGTATTTTAAAACTAAAAATCTAATTTCTTTTCATTTCAAATTGACATTTTATCAAAACTTCAAAATAAGCGAGATTTTTAGCGAAAAATTAAATTTAGTCAGCTCAAAACTTTTAGAATTTAAAAGTAATGACCACCTGTAACCCTTCAACAGACCTGCCACGCCAACCTCGCTCTTGGACCTCCCCCTAACATAGTAAAGCCCCAAATCCATCAGAAGGGAGAGCTCGTACAGAGACTACCTGAACAACGCAATAAATAGGTAACAACGCGCACAATACAAAGAAATATATAAAAATGACAGAGATTCTATGCCCTAAAGATTACGGGCGGACGACAGCTTGGCTCAGCTTCTTTGATGATCTGATTTGGCATTTGGTTGGGCACTGAACTTGAGCCATCTTTACCTTGAAAATGACCAACGTTTGAGTCGTTTTGGTCATTATATCACATTAATGCCAACTTGGAGCAACTTCTGAAACACACAGCTATTATTTAATATGAAAGCTCAAAAACATTGAAAAATTTCTAAATTTTATATTATCCATGACACATCTCATGTCAAGCTTAATATTTTACAAATAGGAATCATAAAATTTAATATTTTAGTATTAAAATGTGACAAACACAGCAAGGATTGCTTAGTTATCATAACAC